TGGTAACGGAAGAGGAGGTGGTGGTAGAGGAGGAGGTGGTTTTCAAGAAGCACGAGACAAGCAGGAGGAGGAGAAGAAGGGGAAGCAGGAGGAGGAGGTGGTTTGTGTTTAAGGAGGAGCAGGAGCAGGAGCAGGAGCAATGGGGGGTAGAGGAGGGAGGGGGGGAGGGGGGGGCGGGGCGGGGCGGAGTTGGTTGTTGGAGGGATGTTGACTGCGAGGGAAGGTGAACAAGTTTGGAGGAGAAGCGATTTCCCTCATTCTGCGCGCGTTTCAACGTGCTGGATGCCTGGATCTTGCTCTCTTCCGCAGGATGAGCTGGGCGTTCCGGCAGACAGAGCACGGTGAGGAGAGGAGAGATGTATCATCGAGAACCAGGAGGAGAAGGAGCGAGAAGAGAGGAGGAGGAGGAGATAAGAAGATAGAGAGTATGCCTTTGTTCTGACACCTTGGATGGTTCAGTTTCTATCAGAGAGGCCGTAGTCATGGCGCGAGCTCTATCAGAGGTCAAACAGAGGGATTCAGAGCTTAGTATTTTCCTCTCTCGCTTCATCCGAGCTCAAGACTCTTCTGCCTTCACCACTGACGAGCTTGCGATCCTGGTCTCCTCCTTCTCTCGCAAGAGTGTCCTCGATGGCTCCCTCTACCGCTTCTTCGCAGGTCTGCTCCTGTCCTGTCCCCTCCTGTCCTGTCCTCCCTTCTCCTCTCCTCTCCTCCCTCTCTTTCCCCTCGCTGCATCTCCTGCTCCTCCTTTCCCCTATCTCCCTCTCTCTGCTTCCTTAGTCCCATTCTTCCTGAGTTGCTCTCCGCCGTCCCCCCCCCCCCTCTCTCTTCGTTCTAGTCTACCTTCCTCCTCCTTCACTACCTGATTCTCTTCTCTCTTCATGTCCTTCTCTCTCTTCCCCTCGTTCATCATAATCTTGTTTCTTTACCTCACGCTTCGCAGGCTGTATCTTGCAGCATTCTCTGTCTGATTTCTCTGCCCAAAACGTCGCAACAATCTTGCATGGTTACTCCAAGGCGGGGATTTGGCAGGAGGAGGTATCGATATCATCTTGTGCGACAAAGCAGATATCGATATGTGATTTTGTTGTTGTTGTTGTTGATGATGATGATGATGATGATGATGATGATGATGATGATGATGAAGTTGTTGACTTTGATGATGATGATGATGGAGATGATGATGATGATGATGACTACGACGACGAGGATTGAGATGAAGGACATATGATAAGAAGAAGATGGAAATGAAATTGATGATGACCAACAGGTCTTCCGTCACTTATCGCAAGCTGCTCGTCAACTTCGACCTCTCCGCTTGCAGGAAGCAGGGCTGATCTCCGAGGCATTCTCTCACGCTGAGACGAGAAAGGTGAAGGCAGGAGGGTCTGAGCGATCAGAGTCCTTGACGTCCTTGCAGCGAGGACGAGGAGACCGTCGGTTGAGAGACGGAGCCATCTTTCGGCATATCTCACAGAGCCTTGTCCTCAATCCACGTTCTTCGGAGAGCCGGTAGGATGAATGGTGCTGATGATGACGATGACGAGAGAGGAGGGCGGAGGGCGGAGAGAGGAGGGAGGAGGGAGGAGGGAGGAGGGAGGAGGAGGAGGAGGAGGAGGAGGAGGAGGGTGGATGGCATGATCTTGATTTGAGATGATATGATGATTTGGATTTCTTGACGCCGGTTCTACTTGTTGCAGGAATTGTGCAGACATCATGAACGCGTACGTGCGAGCCGGGGTATGGGACGAGGACCTCTTTGCACGACTATCGCAGGTGAAGATTGTTCATGAAGAAGAAGAAGAAGAAGAAGAAGAAGAAGAAGAAGAAGAATCTTTTCCTTGTGATGTGAACAAGTGACGAGCTCATATCAGGTTGTTATGTCCCTTCGAGCAAGAGACATTCCAGTCAGCGACATCGCTGTGATTGTTAATGCCTTCAGCAAGGCAACAACAAGGAGTGGAAGGTACCATGTGAATATCTCAAAGTTTTCTTTTTCCCTTCAACTTGCTCTCTTCTGATCACTCTGTTATTTCTGTTGTTCTTTTGATTTTTCTCTGCCTATTATTATCCCTCACTGATTTCCCTCAACTACTTTTTCTTGTTTACCTCCTGCTTTCCTTGTTTTCTGACAATCTTTCTCTGCTGTTAGTCGTCTCAATGTTAACGAGCTCTTCCTCCACATGGCTCGCATCGTTCGTCAGAAGTCGGCAACGGTGAAAAAAATGTCCTGATTTCTTCCAAAGGCCCGCGTCGAGCTATGTTGAAACCTTCCATCATCAACTGCAAACTGCTCTCAATCTTGAAACAATGCATGCCCAGCTGTAACCTTTTCACATTCTCGATCCAATCATCAAACTCTTCCTGAATGATTTTTGATTCTTGTCGCTGCAGGAGTTCAGAGCACGAGACGTCGCAGAGATTGTCAATGCGTTGTCACGGGCCAACACATGGGACAGTGGACTTTTTCGGTGAACAATGCGAAGAGGAGAGGAGAGGAGAGGAGAGAGGATGGGAGGGGAGGGGAAGGGAGATGATCAGGTTGAGAACGATGTGACGTGAACTTGTTGTGTCGTTACATGTTAAGACTCGTCTTGCTCCAGGCACATGTCGACAGTCCTCCGTCAGATGTCTCCTGTCGAAGTTTCTGTGCGCGACGCTGCTCGCATCGTGTGCGCCTTCTCGCTGGCATGGCAACGTGAAGATCCTCGTCTCAGAGATGGAAGGTGAAGGAGGAGCACGTAGGGGAGAAGCTTGTTGAGCTTCAAGCAGCATATTCCGATACATCTCCGCTTGTGTCTTGAAAGCTCTGTCCATGGATGAGGTTGAAGGAATGGAGGGTTGAGGTGCTGCTGTTGACGTTATCACAGAACATCTCTGCTGCTCCTGGTGACATCGCAGCTCTTGCCCATGCCTACACACGAGCGGTAAGACAGCTCTGGCATTTCTGTGACTGCTTGCCGATGCAATGAGTAAAGTTGAATTGGTTTTGTTCACTGTGTTGTGGCTTTTGATGATGATCATGATCATGATTAGGAGGAGGAAGGGGTGAAGATTGTGATGATTGGTGTTACTGGTGATGATGATTGTTACACGTTGTGTAGCTAGTTGCAAGGGCGATTGACTGCCTTTGTTTCAGGGTGTTTGGGATGAGAGGCTCTTTCGCACGCTAGCAGGATCAGTGAAGAAGATCGATCCAGCGCTCTTCAACGTCAAGGTTGTCAAGACTCTACCTGACTTGTCATCGAGACAAGACCATGACGATCTGTCAAGGACCTGGCAGAGGTTGTCTCGTCGTTCTCAGCGATAGAAACGCGGACAGGTCCCACCTTGATCACTCTCATCGTCTTACATGAGGACGAAGATGTTTGTTGTTGTATCCTCGTAAACACGATGCTGATCTTGTTCCCTGTGTGTTGAAGACGATGATGATGATAGTTCTTCGGTTTGAAACATCGCCAGAGACACCATTTATGTCCCATTCGCCTCCTCATACTGGGTGGTTTCTGTTAGAGATCTTATAAGCGTGCAGGGTCTACTCTTCGAGACGGAGCGTTGTTCATGAGGATGGGCAGTATCGCTAAGGTAGGATGTCCAAACATGTTCAACATGTTGAACATGTCTTGATGTGTCCTCCTCTGACTTCTTCCGCCTGCTCCTCCTGCTGTTTCTCGTCCTCCTTCTCTTCCTCCTCAATTCGTTGCTCACCCTTTTCCTTTTCTTTATCAATGAGTTCACTGATCAATGATGTCCTTGAAAGTTGTTGAAATGATCATTGATCAATGATGTCCTTGAAAGTAGTTGAAATGATCATTGATCAATGATGTCCTTGAAAGTAGTTGAGATGATAATGTTGTTGTTGTCTTTTTCTCACTCTTCTCGCTAGTCCCTCTCGTTCCGCGACCTTGTCAAAGAGCCTCGAGCCGTTGCAAATCTTGTCAACGCGTTCGCAAAAGCGGTCAGATCTCTTCTCCTGCTCCTCCACCTCCACCTCCTCCACTTCCACCTCCTCCACCTCCTCTTTCCTTTCCTCAAACTCGTCACTTTGCATCTTCTCCTTCATGTTCTTCCAGCTGTCTTCTGCTCCTTTCAACTCTCTCATTCATTTCCAGGGAATTTGGGATGAGGATCTTTTCCGCCTTTGCTCCAGAGTGGTTCGCAGCGCAGATCCAAAGGTGCCTCCTCCTCTTCTTTAACAATCCACCACCCTCCTCCTGCCCTCCGCCTTCTCTACTTTATCCCTCCTCCTCGTCCTGTAGCTATCCTCTCCCCTAGCAGCTTCCATGGTTTGTGGATGTTTCAACCTTTCAACCCCTCCTTACTATCCTGACCTCCTCGTTCGTCCTCTCCCGTCTCTTTCACCCTCCTTCCTCATCCCCCCCCCTCTCACATCCTCCTCCTCCTCCTCCTCCTCCTCCTCCTCCTCCTCTTCTCCTGCCTTCTCACCACGAGCAGGGCATGCACGTCAACGACTGCGCTGCCATTGTCAGCAGCTTTGCCAAGGCGCAGGCGCGAGAAGGAGCGACGCTGAGAGATGGGGCGCTGTTTCGCAGGATGTCGCTGATCGTTCAGGTGAGGAGAGAGAAATCGGCGGTGAATGTGAGGAGTGTTCAGAGGGAATGAAAGAGTAGAGTAGAACAGGAGAGGAGGAGGGCGGAGAGGAGGAGGGCGGAGAGGAGGAGGGCAGAGCAGGAGGGCAGAGCAGGAGGGCAGAGCAGGAGGGCAGAGCAGGAGGGCAGAGTAGCGAGAGTAGATGAGGGGAGATAATTGCAAGTCTAGACGTGAGCAGAGTAGAGGAACGGAAAGATTTGATGAATCAGAGTCTGCGAGCAGGAAGGAATTGAGATGGAGATGAAGATTTGTTGCTCACCAACTCGATCAGGCCTCGAGCGCAGATTCGTTCAGTCCTCGATCGATGGCCAACATTCTGGTAGGCGATCTGCTCCTTGTTGCTTCATTCGCTTCTTTGAATCACTTCTCCTGCTCTTGTCCCATGTTTCATCTTCAACTGTCCCCTTCTTTTTCCTCTTTATCATCACCATCAACAAATCTCCCGTGCATATCTGCAATCTGATCGTTTGGTCTTCTATCAGTCTGCCTTTGCAAGAGCAGGAATCTTCGATCAAAAGCTGTTCATGCGTGTCGCCAAACTTGCATGCGGCATTTCAACTCCCTCCTTCTCCCGCGACCCTCTCGATGCGTTCAAGACCCAGGAGATGACTAGTCTGGCTTGGGCTCTCGCAAAATCCGGTGTGACGATGCTTCTGTCCCATCTTCTCCTCCTACGCCCGTCCTCTCCCTATGTCCTCCTCCTCCTCCTCCTCCTCTTCTCTGCTGGTCCCTAATCTCTACCCTTCTCTCCTCTGCTCGATGCTCGCATGTTTTAGAAGTCCTTCACTCTTTTCCTCGTGTTGTTGTTGCTTCCCTTGCAGCTGACTCTCGTCAAGGCTTCGAGGACTCCAACCTTCCTGTAGTGCAGCAGTATGAGCGAGAACGACGAGGAGCTGCGGACCTGTCGATCCGAACGTTCTTCGACATCCTTTCACAGCATCTGCGAGTGAGAAAGAGGAGGAGGTGGAGGAGGAGGTAGAGGTAGAGGAAGAGGGAGGGGAAGAGGAGGTAGGGGAAGAGGAAGAGGGAGAGGAGAGGAGGTGATGGGGCAGGAGGAGCATGGAGGTGGGGAGAGGGGGAGGAAGGAAGAGAAGGAAGCGGAAGAATGCTGACGATGAGAAGCTGCGAGGGCTGGAACGCTTCAAGCCGCAGGAGCTATCAAACATCTTATGGTCCTACGCTACATGCGGGTAGGAGGAGGAGGAGGAGGAGGAGGAGGAGGAGGAGGAGGAGGAGGAGGAGGAGGAGGAGGAGAGTTCTGTTGATGTTGGCGAAACAGGTGGGAATCCTCTTGGTTGTTTCGGATGGCGGAGAGTGAGATATCAAGGAGGAGTCAATCAGAATCTTTCAAATTCAACCCACAAGACATGTCCAACATCGCATTTGCCTTCTCCAAGTCTCGGTCAGTAATGCTGCCACATGTGATGTGTATTATCATTGCTGATGAGCATTGTCTGGTTTAATCATGATTGCTCAGAGGTGCTACAAGTTGTTTGCTCACAATGTCGACAGTTACAGGAGCCACCAAGTTTTTGACATTCTTGCCGGAGAAATACTCGACAAGTCACAGGTCTGTTGCGTTATGCACCTTGGTTCTTCTGATCGTCACCAGGCTCAAAGATATGACTTCTCTGCTTTTGCTTCTCGACAACTTGCGATGTTGATTGTTGCATATGCAAAGGTTGAGCCAGAAATCCTGAAACTGTTGGTAGAAAGTGACATTCTTTCTCTAGGCTGGATATAAAGATTCGAACTTCTTTCAAGATTTGCAGAAAGAAGTGATGAGTCGACAAGTAATCATGGTGAGATAAAAGTTATGTCGTGTCTCGTCTGCCAAGTCGTCTTCGTCGTCGTCCTTGAATATGATGATGATGACCATGACCATGACAATGATGATGGCAGAGTGAAATGTCACCGAGTTTGAGCGAAGCACTTCTCGAATCAAATGTTAGTCAGAAGTATCACGTCAGGGGAAGAACGGAGACAATGTATGCTTTGTACCTTCCTCCCTCTACCTCCTCCCTCTACCTCCTCCCTCTACCTCCTCCCTCTACCTCCTCCTCTACCACCTGCCTCTACCACCTGCCCCTACCAACTCCTCTACCTTCTCTACTTCCTCCCTCTACTTCTTCCTCTCTCACGTCCCCTACCTCCTCTACACCTCCTTCTCAATCTTCTTTCCTATCTTGACATTTCATTTCGTCCCTGCTTGCCCTCGTCTTCTCACTTCATCATTACCAAACGGTCTCTCCTCCCTTCTTGTCTGATCAAGATCTAGTGCTGTAAAGAGTGCCACTGTGCAAGACGTCGTCAACATTGCATGGGCTGCTGCCATGGCAGAAGAGGTGAAGAAGAGTACACAAGTACCTGCACAAGTTTGTTCTGATCATTCTCGCACAGTTGTCTTCAGACATGCTCGAGTTTGTCATTCAACGGACAGAAAGCCGTCTGGAACTACTTCCGATTCCTCTCCTTGTACAGTTGGGTCACATCCTACTTGCTTGTAGCGACCTGATCTGCACACAAAAATCGAAAGTTTCACTTGGTGGAATTTGTTGATTTGCTTGGGAATGATTTCCTGACATGAAATGTTGCAGAGATGATGAAACTTTTCTTGGAGCAACAACCAACTAAGTTCGAAACTGATGAACAGAAATCTCTAGAAGATCTGCAGGTAAGACAACTGCTCGTCTCTTCCTCGTCTCTTCCTCGTCCTCCTCGTCCTCCACGTCCTCCACGTCCTCCTCGACGTCCGCCTCTCCCAGGGTCATCCTCGTCCTCTTGCCCTAAGCCGAACCCCCCCACTCCTGCCTCTTCTTCTTTCTTCATCTGCTCTCCAGTCTCTTCATGCTCTTTTCTTCATCTTCCCTTACAAGAGGAGGTCTCATCGTCCTTTTTCGTCATGTTTCCCCTGCTTGTTATGTTTTCATGTCCTCTTCTCCTTCCACTTGTCCTACCCTAACTCTCTGTCTTCAAGATGGGAGCTTCAATCATCGAGACCTACCTCGACGCGACCGATGCCATCAAACAGGACCTCAACTCGCCTTCAGTTGACTTCTCTATCCAACTTCTCCTCTCCTTGCGGAGGTTGAAGGTAACTGCCTTGTTTGTTCCTTCCTCCTCCTAACCCATCCACTCAGGAGAACGAGAATCCTCCATATTCGTCCAAGTTACATGAGGTGGGAAACAAGAGATGGGCTAGTTTGCGTCCTGACAATGTCTTGCAGTCCGTTTCACACATTCTGTCTTCGTTGGAAATGCCACATGTCAACGAATATCCGGTCTTTGGAGGTGTATTTCACATAGGTCAGTGATGATCAGATGCTCTTCTTCACCTCTCATTCTCAACTCTGTACAACCACATGGCAAACAACAACGATCTCGCTCAAAAGACCACACACACGTATGCTTGTGGAAACAAGATGATTTCAGTGCAGACATTGTCTTACCCAACAACATGGCGGTCGAGGTGGATGGACCAACACACTTTTATGTGATTTTTTTGAATGCTTCTTCTATTTTGGCAACTGCAACTGAGAGTTGTTGTTCAGATCAACGAACTTGAAACCTTGAACGCTGAAACAATCTTCAAACACAAGGTAACACAACACAACCTCACACATGGAACGCTGATGACCCTTCAGCTGCTCAAGAAGTTGGGGTGGGATCTGATTTCACTTTCATACAAAGATGTAAGAGCTTTTCTTCTCGTTTATCTTTTTGTGTTTTTCCTCGTTAATCTTTATGTCACAACAGTGGGAATCTTTGAAAGGCAGGCAAGATGCTCAGAAGACCTTTCTTACTAACATTCTGGGACAACATTCTTGACTTCACATGCTCAAGAAAACATGATGGGAACATAAAGGAAACTTGTATCATGCTTGACGCGCTCGTTCGCGATCTTCATCTTCCTTAAAGTCCGCAGCCTTCTTGACTAGCTGGTGCACCTGTTTTGTGAGCTCCTCCATCTTCTTCATCAGCTCCGCAAGGTCAGCTTCTTTCTGCTTGCAACCTTGCTCAAAGACCCTCTCGTTCTCAACGGCGAGAAGTTCATTCCCCCTCGCTCTCTTCTGCCTCTCCATCTCGTTCTGCAGCTTGTTCTGCAAGCACTGAGACGCGTTGAGCACGGGATCCATGGACCGTCGGATCACGCTGAGCCTGACCTGACACACGCACCACCTGAAGATGGAGACGAGAGTCTGACTGGAGTGACACACCATCTCCTCCGTCAGGCACTTGCTCGGCTCCTCCAGCACGCTCATCGACGACCTCTTCTCCAACCTCCGCAGCGGCTGCACTGGGGTGGAGGAGGACCGCCGGATCAGAGGAGGAGGGGGAGTTCGTTTCTCCAGCCCCCCCGAGTTTCGCTGCGGGCTGACGTCAGGAGCTTCAGGGAGCCCCTCGCACGCCTTCCCCCCGAGGTAGTGCAGGTCGATGTGGGCCAGGAGCTGAGGCTTCGCCATCAAGGGAGCAGGGTCGAAGTCCATGATGAAGGAGATGAGGTCGCTCTTGGACAGCGTCTTCTTGCACTGCCTCTCCCAGTCGATCTGCCGCCTGTGGTCCACGCTCTCCGCGTTCACGATCAGGTGCAGCAGCTCCACTGTCCGCCTGATCGTCGGGGCTGCAAGCAAGTCGTTGAGGACGAGGAGCGAGAGAGGAGGGAGGCCGCACCTGGGTCTGGCATTCGACGGAGTTTATCCAAATCTGATTTGCCGAGCTGCTGTATGATGGGCCTGATCTCAGCGACGAGCCTCTCGCTCTCTGCGCGCCCAACGTGAGCCGACCGGAAGCTCAGGGAACAGACTCTTACCTCGCAAGACCTTCTCCATCCCCTTGGTCTCAGTTTGCAGCAGAGCGATGTTGTTTGTTGCAGCCTTGTACTCCTCCCTGTTGAAGATGATGTCTGCACGCGCCTGGTCTAGCATCTCCCGGCATGATTGCAGAGATTTTTCTCTTTCATGAATCTCTCGTCGCAGCGTTGTGATCTTTTCTCGCAGATCTCTTCCCTTGGGGAGATTCCATGCTATGTTAAGCCAGTTTGTTCCCTCCACGCTCTCTGGATCTTCGAGCTCAAACTCGCCCATGGTTGAGACTTGTATGTTGCGTCTGGAACCTTCCTCTGGCCCTCCTTTTCACTCTTCCTCCCCCCCCTTCACCCCTCACCCTCTCCCTTGAGTTCCCGCAGCTCTCTGATCCCGACTGGTATGCCCTGCCTCTGCACTGCTACTCAATGTCCTCTGTTCTACGTCCTCTATCCTCTACCTTCTTTCCTCTCCCCCTCCTTTCTCTCCCTCCTTTCTCTCGCTCCCTCCTCTCTCCTCGTTATCGCTCGCGTTAGATTGGCTTACTCCTTGTTGGGTACCCTTTTACTCCTGAAGAAGGCTCCCGCCTTTATTCCTCCACCCCCAAGACCTTCCTGATTTTTTATTGTAGCTGAATTATACTTTCAATAACCTTGACCCATACCTCTTTGCCCTCCCCGACACAGGTAGTTTGCTCAGTTTCTACAGCTTGCGTGCAGGAGATAAAGTTCTGTTCTTATGTGTAACTGCGCCGATGAGACGTAGAGGGTATGTACGTCATGATCGTGACAGAGTGACGATCATGTGGATGAAGGGGAGAATAAAAGGAGGAGGAGGAGGAGGAGAAGGAGGTTCCGAGAATCTTCATGATGATGATGATGATGATGATGATGATGATGACAAAAAAAATGTTATGAGGAGGAGGAGGAGAATACCAGAATCTGGGTGGAGGGATACACAGAGATACAAGAATCTTGATTACGTGGAGGACAAGAATCAACATTGAATCTCTCGTAATAACAAATCTTAAAACACCAACCTTCCCTCTTTCGTTGCTGATTCGACAACAACCAAGTTGATCTCTCAAGTTCCATGCTCGACATCTTCTTGTCCATCCTCGAAATTCTCACCCACTTCAAACCCAGCGATGTTCTCCCTCCTGATTGGTGACGAACTTGGTTGTAGACTCTCTGGCTCGATACCGACCAAGAGAGCTCATCATTGACGTGAGATCGTCCGCGTTGGCGGCCCCACTGCTCGTGCTGCTGTCCACGAGGCTGCTGCCGAATCTGAAACGAACCTTGAGCCTCGGCTCTCGCCTGTCGTCCAGGTCCTGCCAACTCATCTTCATGTGGAGCTTCATGCTCAAGTCGTTGTATCTTGTCAGGCTGGACAACCGCAAGGCTGGCTTCACAGTAGCAACGCATCGCCCAGGAGCGTCTTCCATGTCCTCGAACAGCTCCAAGGAAACAGTCATCCTGCCGAGCTCGCTGCCATCCATAGAGAATGTGAAGTGCTCGCCCCACCTCGCCTTCGCGCTCAGGGAGTCTCCACGATCCATGCCAGTCAGCGCTGGCTCTTCGCTCCGCAGCCCAACTTCGATGGGGACTGCCCGGGTTGAGAACGTCTGATAGAGCATCTCGTCGTCCCTCAAGGTCAGGGCAAGGAAGAGCGAACGAGTCCTCGAGTCTGCCGGCAAAGGAAGGTTGCCTGCCTCCATGACCTCGATCCTGATCTGACTCGCTCCGACCTGACGCCGCTCAGCGAGAAAGGAAGATCTGCTTGACTTGCTGGAGATTGAGTCCGAGGACAAGTCTTGAACGGGACTCACGCTCCATTCAGAGGTCTGGTGAGAGAGCTCTGTGATCATATCTTCCAGCCTCCTGGCAGAGACGATGTTGCCTGATTTGTGTTGAGATCTTCAGCAACAAGAAATAGCATCGCTCTCACCTGCTTGAGAGGGAGGCACGACGTAGTAGGGCAAAATCTTCAAGATGAATGTGTCCTGCCCAAGAATCTTGCTGACTTGTAATCTACGAGAAGACACCCCGAGGTGACGAGATAATCTCAAGACAAAGTTTGCAGAAGTGATTCCCACTTCAACTTCCGGTTCTTCTTCTTCATCCTCTCCATGCGGGTCCAACATGTGCAGGTGTACCTGTAGAAAAACGATGTTTTCGTTCTCAGGGGAGGGAGGAAAGCACGGGTCATCCTGCTGAGGGGTGAGCGTACGAGCAGGCTGCCGTCATCGTCACCTTCCAGCTGAAACTCCTTGAGTCTCCATCTCGACTGGGAGTTCGAATGATTTGCTCCAATGCATGAGAATTCAGATGCTCTGAGAGTTCAACCGGCACGTCTTGCACCCTTGCGTGATTCGTGATTTCATGTTGAATGAGCACAGGTGCATTAGATGAATGACTGCATCAAACGCTCTTATCAACTGCCGTCTTTGTATCACAAAGATTTCTTCACCGTTCGTTCTTCCCTTTCGAGAAAGTAAAGCTGGGGGGAAATTCCGTAACGCAACCAGACTTGAACCATCCTGCTGAAAGCCTCAGCTGAGCACTGCGCGAACTTCTTTTCATCGCCTCTTATCCTCTCATGGACAATGGTGTCCCCTTGGCGCATGACTACACTTCCCTCCATCCAGCCATCTGAAGGCTGTTAGACAGGTTCCAATAACCTCGATTTCATGTCTGTCTCACCCGTTCCCTCTCGCCAAACAGCAATGATGTCCTGAGGATCAAACCTCAACAATGAAAATCCTTCTGTGGAATCTCTCGTCTCGTTGCAAACGATGGCAGAAGCAAAGGCCATGGGCATCCGGTCTCGTTGAACGGGGGGCATCGACTCTCTTGGGCCCACACAGTCTGCCGGAAGCCATCCTGCTCCGATGTCATGTGCCTCACCTCTATCACGACAACAACCTTCATGCAGCTTGCCCCCGCCATGGTCTCGTGGTAGAATGGAAGCAAATACCCAACCTCGACGACCTGATGTGCTTGAAGTTACACATAAGATTCTTGTTGACCTACAGGTCTCACCATGGAACTCAACAACAACCTTTTGACCTGCTCTCACCGATGCAATCGAGCTGCCCTTGTAATCTGCATCATCGAAGTCTTGGATGGCATGCGTGATATACCATCCCTGCAAGCAGGCCTCTCCTGTATCACATCTGAATACCACCAGCATGTATCAATCGATCTGTTACCCAACTCCTTCACCATGGCCTCCCTCATGTCCCCCTCCTCGCTTTGAAGCAGCTTCTCTGCGAGAGCCGCAACTGCAAAGTCTTGCGACAGCATGAGCCTTGCCAGTGTGCGGACGGCTGTGTACATGAAAGAAGCTTCCTTGAGGCGCAGCCTGGTCAATGGTACGGTCTCGAGAGCAAACAAGCGCGCACCTGGAAGTGCAAGGTGTTGTGTACCTCCATCCCTCTAAGAGCAAGACCACAGACTGCTGCTGGTAGAGTTGAATCGGACTAGCTGCAGCAGAGGATCACGCGATCATGATGATCGGATTGGGATTTCAACCGTGAACAGTGCAAGGCTCGTGAGCGTCTCACTACTATGATATCCGACAGCACAATCACATCCGGAGTCCCTCACAGTCAGCTACTGAATGGCATCGACTTTCTCAATCAATTTCCCAGTCAGTGCAACTCAGCATTCGATCAACGACTGTGTTTGTGCCGACCGTCGTGGAACAGCCGCACCCGGGCCGCCGCTCAGCACAAGTCAGCAGCCTCCGGCCTCGGAGTCACACCGTCCATGAGGAGGGGGCGAGTCGGATCTCTGTTGCTCTCACGCGCTCATGCTCCCTCCCTCCCCTCCTCGTCCGCTCCGCCCCATCGAGGGCATGAGAAGCCGCTCAGCAGGCTGCTGGATCCGATCGGGCCGCCCGAAGGTGCCGTGACTACCAGCTAGAGCAGGTGTTATATGTTTTATAATGTAATTTCTAACTTTTAATATGATAAAATATATCAAAAGATATTGGGAGTTTTGATAATCTTTACTGATTATAAAATTGATATTTTTTGTTGGTACACAGAACAGGTTATAGTCAGCAATGCTTGTACCATACACGTGGTACATCGGCTGTCTACAGAGCTAAGTTACCAAACAAACAGTATTGATATTTTAAATAATTTATTTTATTTTGTACCACATCGGTAAACAATGTACAAGGTTCATTGTACGGGGGAATGAATTTTGAAGGGTTTGATGCCTCATCCCCGCTCAAATCTCTTCACCTGCCTCGGCTTGCTATGGCTTACGCCCCGCTTTACGTCCGCTCTGCATGCGCGGCTTGCGAGTCTCTCCCATCCTCACAGTTCGCTTGAATATTCAAAATTATCATACACACTCTCTGATGTGATCTTTGTTAACATGTTCTCAATCGATTGATTTCAGACAAACTGTCTCTGTCTAATTTCAGTTCAGGATTTGAAGTGGTGTGTGTGTGAGCTGTGATTCATGCATTTTTGTGTTCAGCACTGTGATTTTACTTCAGAGTTATTAGTGACAAGTGAAGATATCTCGCTTTAGCGCATGAAGGCAAGTTGTTGGCGACGTCTTTAACTGCTTATTTTTCTCAATAGAAAAGTCTTGAGAGCAAGTGTCTTTCGTTGTCCTACCGATTGATTGTTATTTATATGTATTTCTTTCTCCTTTGGAATGCCATGCCACAGAGCTTCTTCAAACAAATGCGTTGAATGGTGTCCTCTTTCCAGCATCATTTCCTTGCTGTAATCTGAAGAAGCTTGGATCCAGGAGGATGCTCTCGAGGGCATATGGATTTAGTCGGCGTCTCATTACCGCAGCGCCAAGACTGATTAAATCGAATCACAATTTCAGTACGACATATACAAACAGATCGTTTTCAAATGCAGCAGTTGAAACCGCGAGAAAAATCAATGAGCTTCGCAAGTCAGAGCGTGGTAGCGTTTCCAAGGAAACTATGTGCATCAAAGTGAGTGGTCATCAAAGCACGATTCTTTCTTACGATTGCACTTCAGGAGGCGTTTGATCTTGTTGACGAGGATGAGAATGGGGAAATTGATCGTCACTGCTTGAATAGGTATGTTGAACCGTTGCACAGAGTGGCTGATGTTGACGTTCTGGCAGCCTTGCTGTTATTCTCGCAGATTCAGGGCATGGGGAAGTGCAGGAATTGAATGCAGCTTTGGAGGAAATCAACGCTGGCAAGTGAGTCTTCGTCGCATTTTGATCGAGCTACCAAGTCATGATTGAAATTCACAGGGACGGTGTTATCACCAAGCAACAGTTGATTGACTTCTGGAGCAAAAAATGCGCGACCATGGCACGTTACAGGAAGCCACCAAGGAGCTCTGTTCAGGATTCAATTGAACTCAGCGACTACATCCTGGCAAGAAAGCTTTGGCCAACTGGAAAGCACAACTAGAGGCATCTAATGAAAATCAACGTTCGGAGAAGTTATACTTCTAAACATCCTGGATCAAGCACGATTTACATAATACTGGATTTGAGATAGATGCGTTTTCCTGAAGAGAAGTAAAGCTTGGTGAAACGAACATATACAGATCTAAAGCCATTCATTCCCAAACAAACCTTGCTTCTACCAATTATGCACTTGAACTTGCTGGCGAGGCTTCAGCAGTTGCAGGAACGGCAGTTGCATCTACTGCTTGGTTTTCCTTCCAAGCTCCGATTGAAACGAGGAAACTGGACAATGGCTCGCTCTCGTTCATGTAAGCCGTTCTGCTTCTGCGCCAGAAAACTCGGCAATCACTGCCGTCTGTATTGCACTCGCGATGCCATGGATGGAAAATCTCGTACCAAAGACCCAGCGTAGAGAACATCAGTGGTTTCTACCTACGAAAAAAACATGATAGGAGTCAGGAGCGACGCAACACAGACGGCAGAAACTCGTGTGACGTCAAGGTAGGAATAAGCGTGAAATCTTAAATAAGAGTTGGATTGAAAATCAACAAACATAACAACATCGCTGTATCGATTCTTGCGTCAGACAAGCGTGACACGCTGACACATGGAAAAGCATCAAGTCAAAGATCATTGCAGGCACTACGGACATCCAATAGATCTATCGTATAGCTTTGCAAGTCTCCCACTGCCCTAGTCGCCAGTAGCGCTCGTCAACGCCATTCTGCCTTGCTCGCACTCAGGATGGCTAGATTGAAATCATCTCAATTTGCCACAGTATCCCCTCCTCCCTCCTTTGCACATGATCGCAGCTCGGATTCACTCATACTCTTCTCTCTCTAGCTCACGGTTCGTTTCTTGCCGGCGCTCAAACTCGCCGCATGCCCAAAATACATTGACTAATTTGACATTTTGCTTTACTCAACTGTCGGCCGGGCCGGGCCGGGCCAATCCGAGCGAGTCACACTGAGATTCACAGAGTCACCTGTCAGTGTCCGGTCACGATCATCGCCAAAACACTGTCGCACTGGCCAAGACAATCACCGTTGAATGAGTTGCAGTTAGGCATGATCCAGGCTGACTCCCGCTCCCGGGGCCAATCGGGCCGGTGACCGTCCCCCCGAGGCCCGGGAAGGAATACTGGGTGCCGGGCGTAGCCAATTTTTAACTGACAACTTTGAGTAAAGAATTGAAGTTCTCGCCGTTTGGCCCGGCCTGTGGCGGATGCCCCCGCGGCGACCGTCGGACACGGACTCAGTGACTCGGCGAGCACTGCAAGGCCCCAGCGCTGGCCTCCGATCTCTCGGCCTCCAGTCCGACAAGACGTCTCAGGTGATCCGACGTGCAAACGCATTCGGAGTCCGGTCCAGGATCTTTTGTCAACTCAAGGCCTCCCTGTCCTTCGCCGCAGTACCACTGATCATCGCCGGGGTGGCATTCCGGTACTATGCGCCGGCGTCTCATTCCTTCGCCGGAGTTTGGGGGACAGCAGTCGGCAGGAATAGGTTTGGTTCTCGCTGTCTTTTCTCTTCTCGCCGTTTGGCCTGTGCGACAGTGTCAGGGTCAAGCCTCCTCGACTCTCCTGATTGTCCTCGTACTGCTTTTTAACTTAACTTTGAGTAAAGAAGGAATGCGACTGCTGGCCAGTAGTGAAAAAGAACACAAGGGGATGCGAATGGGAGCGGCAAGGGACTGTCCTCCTCGGTCCTCCTCGTTCTCCTCGCTGTTCTCGTCATCGAAGACACGGCATGACAAGCAACTGACGCCTGCTCTGATGTGGATCCTGGGGTTTTCACTCCTTCTTGGTACCACTGACTCCCTCAGTCCTCGCTGGTGTGAGCTAGTGCCATGTAGATCGGCGCCGACATGCATCTATGTGAGGGGAGGAAAGGAAAATGTGGCAAGTCCCATGTCGATCTCTTCACATGAGGCAGGAAACGATGAGTCAGAGAGTGTGAGCGAGCAAAGCAATCGAAGCAATCAAGATCATACCGATGATGAAGAAGGAGAGGAGTTAGATGAAGATAGTCAGAGATTTGAGCAACTTGCTCATAGCAAATCGCAAGAGGCAGATGGAAAACGTTCCCGAGCTCAACTGTCAAAAGAGTTCTCTGCTACACCGTCATCATCAACTCTGCAAGAGGGTTCGGATCCCTTCAATGGGGGATCTCCTGGCAAATCTAGAGACATCGAAGAGGATGGTACTTCGCACTTGAACACAGAGCCATACACGGAGCAACTCAAATCCATGGATTTGATCGAATGTCTGAGATTTTCAGCGACCCAAGATGGCTTTTACACGGATAACACCTACAGACCAGCCTTTACATATCTGATTGGGAGATTGCAGGTGACGTTCATGTTTATAGTATTTGTGAGTCCGCGTTGTTAGGCTGAAGTTTGCAAAGGATTATCTCAAAGAGTGGGACCCCTGGAGCAAGTATTTCATCAGAACCTGTCTTCGAAACGACGATGCGCATGTCCGCTCTGTCCTCCTTCTCTTTCGATCAATTCTTAGTCTTCTTGGTTGTTAGGTTTCAGAGCTCATGGCAAAAGTGAGAAGAGACGGCCAAGTAAGTCTGCGAATGCATCATCCGGTTTTTCTTTGGATTTGAATTTTGATGTGAATGCTAGAATGCCAAGATTCAAATCTGGGACAAGAATTGGATGGATGTGTCGAATTTCAGTAATTTCATGGCGCTGTGACAGATGAAGCAGATCTGATAGACGTTTTCAACAGCCGATCGAGAGATTATTGACAGGGTGGCATCAATGTATGGATTCAGGTACGAAGAGTTGTTTCATATCTCGATCTGATCCGGTCACAGCTGTACATTGGATGCAACATCTAACAGCAGTGGAGGTTGAGAATTTTCTTGATCGATCGAGAAATTCACTGACGAGTGATTTTGAATGTTGTACCTGCCAACAGACCTCAACACTCAAGATCTTTTGAATGGCACAGGGCCATTCCGAAGTTTGATACAGAAGTGAGTGTTGTGAGTCGTACTTTGCAAGTTCTGAATTTACCTTGGTTGCTGCAGTTACTTGTATCTGTTCGATCCTCCTGTCATCGATGAGAAGGAGTCTCAGAGGTTGAGAGAACTGCAACTAGAACTGAAAGTGACAAGAGCTTTGCTCTACTTGCTGCTTGTCTCATGTTCATCAGGTCCATCACTCTGCAACCGAAAGTGAAAGATTGAATGCACAGCTCTGGTGAGCGCCTTTTACTTCACCGTCTTGCGATTGCTGTTGGAAATGAATCTTATTTGTTGGATTCTGTAGGAGATCCATCGAACAGAATGACATATTCTATGCCAAGAAATATTTGGAAAGGTAATTATTCATCTACCTTGCAGCAGGATTTGATGTGATGACAAAGAGGGGCCGATGTCAACGCGATCGACTCTTCTGATGGGATGGTGAAGACTTTGAAGATGTCATCGCCTCTCCTTTGTGAACTGTTCAACACGCACAGGCCTCTTTACACAAAGCTGTCTGTCTGGGACGATCTGAATGTGACAATGTGTCGTGTGCTGCTTTTGCTAAGAGGAGCTCATGCAGTGGTTGCTCTTATCTTGGAATATCCGGCAGTCGTCGATCTCCAGGTCTTGTGAGAGAAGAATCGACTTGTGTTCTCACTAATGTGAAGGATGCCAACATAGGGAAGACTGCACTGATGGTTCCAACTCAACTTCTCATGTTTCGCTTACACATCTTACCTGCATTCTTTCGTCTAGATGTCCGTTCAGCTCGGTCACTACAACATCACTCACGCCCTTTTACGCGCTGGAGCCGATCGGATGCTCAAAGATCTCAATGGCCGATCGGCACGCACCAACATTGAATCCTCTTCTTCTTGCTGAGTCGCGTCATATCAGATCTTGCATTATTGCGCGCTCTGTCAGAACCATTACAAGAAGACAGTGGAGGTAAATTGCAGGATTCTACACTTTGATCTGATAACCTAGCAGTCCATCATGCAAGGGTTTGAGCAATCTGGCAAGCAGCCGAACTTTACACAACCTGACAAGTTTGGAATGTCCGCATTGGTGTTTGCAATCATCTCCTCAACGGGGTGTTTTCTGATGAGAAGGTAAAGGACTTGGCGTACTATCAAGGGCGGTCCTTCGTGTTTGAGTACTTGGAATCGATCGCGGGTAGCAAAGACTCGCCTACTTTGACTTGAGAATGCTCACTCTGACGTAGAAGGGAGGAGTGGTCTCAACACGGTGATCGGACATGATTGGTCAAAACCTTTCAAACTGTTCCCTGCCCTGAATGTTAGGACTCACATCTAAAGTCTGTGCGCGGCTAATGCTTGACGATCAGGTCCCTCCGTACGTCGACAGTTCAGACTCGAAGTATGATCCTCAGGTCTCAAACTTTAGCTCGCCTGTTGCCTTTGAACATCAGCAGGAGCCGCTTGCACAGGAGTTGAGCAGGGTTGCAAGACACCTCGACGAGAACTTTACGTTGGTGCGCAGAGACGTTTCACTTCGGTCATGAGACAGTGATGATTTTGATGGGCAGGAAGAATGCCTCTTAGAAGAGAGAGAGGAGTCGAACCCATCAGATTGGGAGTGAGACGAAAGTTTCGATTGTTGCTCCTCTTATCTGCCTTCTAAAGACATCCATCGGAATCGAGATATCGGCCATACCGAACTTATAGAGGAATCGGCATGACAGTCTGGTCTTGCGCCATTGGAGTGAGTGAGTGCGTGTTACAGGTGCGAGCAAAGCTGGCGCTCGGAGGTTGACGTGGAAGGGATGCGACTACTTCGACCACAGGAGATTCATGTCCATCGACCGGTAGTGATGATTGTGCTCTGCTTTATTGATGAGTGCTTTCAGCGCGATGCTCGCCCAGATCTTGATTCACCCAATCAGAAATCTCAAGCCAGATGCTGTTGCCAAACTTGGCAAGAACTTTCTGAGGTTTTGTGCCAAGTGTAGGATGGCAGTGATGAGGGAGATGCGAGACAAGCAGAGAAGGGTTGATACATGACTTACTAAAGTCCGGCAGTATCAACGCCATCATATCAGCTCAAGTACATGAGCTTGTCTTCGAGGGAGATGTCGGCGATGACATCTCGAATCTCTCTCAGCGACATGTCGTTCAGTCGAGCCCCCATGCCTTGGATCTCTGTGCTCACCTGCACGTGCATTGTTGTCACCAAGACAAGGAACGGCTCACAACTCACCGGCTCGTCGGTCTCGTCGTGTAAACCTGTGAAGTAAGAATGAGCCAGCAGCTCGGTGGCTGACCTTCTCATCGCACTCTCAAACTGCATCATCGTCAGGCAGGCTGGGTCGGCACTCGTGTTGCTCACCTGCAGCGTACAGTGTAAGAGGTGGATAGTTTCGGCGTCGGCGTCAGGAAATTGAGTCTCCCAGGAGATCTGAGGCTTCATGGGAAGAGATCTCAACAATGCGAGAAAGGGAGTACCCAAGCCGCTGTAGTTCTGTATCGGAAATAGCGTCATCGCAGAAAACACAGTTAGAGGATGGGCGAACAAAGCGATGTCAGAACAGTTCGGACGGTACAGTACCGGACAGGACAGGATAAAGAGGAGGGGAGGTGGATGGCGGAGGGGAGAGGGAAGGAGGAGGAAGGAGGAAGGAGGACAGTAAAGAGGGTGAGGACGTGAACCTTTCTAAAGGATGAAGGCCGACCGCAGTATTTCACGATCCTCTCGATCATGTCCATCGAGTGAGAGCCAGGGAAGAAAGCTCTTCTACCTAACAACTCTGCGAGGATGCAGCCCACGCTCCAGATGTCGATGGACGTGTTGTACTGCAGAAGCGTGAGGAGACGGGAGGGGAGGGAGGGGAAGAGAACACGTCTGAATCTCCCATAAGCACCTCTGGAGCTCGGTACCAACGAGTCACAACTGAACGAGGATGTGACTGCTGACGTCATCGCATGCTCAAGTCACCGTATGTGGTCTTTGGCGCACCGATGTCGTCGACCGCCAAGCCCAAGTCGCCGATCTTGAGATCATAATTGGAGTTGACAAGGATGTTGCTTGGCTTAAGATCGCGATGAATGACCTGACCGGAGGGTGAGAAACAAGACAAAGACACACGTGCTGAAAGGCAGCAAGGAGGAAACGATAATCATAGTGATTGTGAGATGATAAAATCCTTTCTTGTCTTCTTGTTCATCAAACCCTCGGATTTTCATACCTTAGCAGAATGAAGAAATTTGATTCCTCGAAGAATCTGATACATGAAAATTTTGACCTGATCTTGGTTGAGAGTTTGTTTTGATCGGATGATACCTGTACATGGTCATGTTTCATGTCACTTGGCTGCAACCTCACGATGCAAATCAGTGTCCATGATCTCCATGACAAGAAAGACACTCTTGAAGTCCTCTCTCGACGTTGGGAAGAGGAAAACAGACTAAGAGACTTGCGGTCATACGATGGAGTGTCTTACTTTGATTCACCTGCAGCTGTACGATGTTCTCATGCCCGGAGAAGTGTCGAAGACATAGGATCTCCCTCAACAACTGAGATCGCAAGAGCCCCATCAGCACGTTGTCAGGAGGAGAAGACAGACTGTGGTGCACATTGTGATTGAAAGACATGCCCAACCTGAAGAGATGCTGGTTGACTCCCCGAGGTTTCACAGATGGCCTTGATCGCAACCTTGTTCTTGGTCCTCCTGTCCATTGCAGCGATGACAGTCCCGTACGATCCTTTGCCGAGTTTCTCGATGTACTCAAAGTGATCATCGATGCACTCGAACGTCTCTGATGCCTCTGGTGGACAAGCATCGCAGCCTTTCCCTTCCTTTCCCTCAAATCTCTTGCCTGCCTGTTGTCTCGATTTCTCCCGTGCCAGCCTGTTGGCTCGAGGTCGGAGATGATATTGAACGTTCACGTCCTGCTGCTGGAGCGGCTTTCGCTTCTCGTTTCTTCTAGCCATTACACTCGCAATCTTCTCCCCTGTTGAGATCTGTCAAACAGATGGAGCAACGAGCCAGTATACACAGGGTGCCACGAGGAACGAGGGGTTCAGGGAGTACAACGGAGAGGTCGAGGCGGTACCCGTGTGCTCGACGTTCTCTGTGTCATGCTGTCTGAAGGAGGAGACTGATGTGCTGCTAGTCATCATCCTGCAAGTCTTGTTCGCTTCTTCGCTCGATGTTGATGTTTTTTTTTTTGTTTGTTGAATTCGTAACTTGTCACTTCCCATGGCCCTACTTGCCGCCCCAATGCGGCAGAGGCGCATGAGAGGAGGGGGAGAGGAAGGGAGTGGAAGGGAGGGGGAGGGAGAGGAAGGGAGGGGAGGGGGAGGGAGAGGAAGGAAAGGGAAGGGAAGGGAAGGGAAGGGGGAGGAAGGGAAGGGAAGGGAGGGAAAGGGAAGGGAAGGGAGAGGAAGGGAAGGGAAGGGAGGGGGAGGGAGGGGAGGGAGATGGGGGAGAGGGAGGGGGAGGGAGGGGTGGGAAGAGGAGGGAATGGAGGGACAGGAGAAGTCGCTGGGAAGGATGCAACGCGCATGAGGAGGAGGCGATGGGAGGGAGTGAGGAAGATGGAGAAGGGGGGTGATGGGGTTGCGGAGGGGTAGGGGCAGAGGGGTGGAATGGGTCGGTGAGGAGAGGAAGCTTGATGGCAGGGGCAAGACAAGGAAGAGATGTTTACATGGCAAGAGAAGCATTGATCAGTAGAAGTGACTGTGTCCTGAGAGCATAGAGGATGACATCGGAGTTGCTCCCCCCCTCCGTTGAAGCTGTGACGAGAGCATGCACATGCCAAATGACTGATGATGTAACATGTTGCACGAAGTGTGTAGGTTGTGGTATCTTGCAGCACAAGGAGAGTCAGGGTTGTCAGTGCTGCATGGGTTCAGCAAAGTGAGAGGAAAGATGTGATTGAGTCAACTGATTAGATGATGCTGGTCAACGGGTTTCCACTTACATGGCATTTAGCGGACAGTGTCATCAAAGAACTCATAAATTTCCATCTCACAAGTTCAGTTTGTCTTTGTGTTTATTGCCATCGCATCTTGCAATTTTGGTGGTACAAGAAAAATGTATAAGAAAAATGTATAAGAAAAATAAATGTGTCCTGAGCACAGTGGCGCTCAGCATCCATGGGGTAATATTGTCTACCTGATACGAGTACATAACAGCTTGATAAAAGATTGAAGGGAAATCTGCTGCCTTCTTTGTCACCGTCACGACTACACCTCTCATGCTTGCACAGAAATAAAGAAAATCGCGAGAACTGAGAAGAAACTGAAAAAAGTAGAAACTGAAACTGATTGGCCAAATTCTCACGGCACCTGAAACAAGAGTGGCAGAAAAGGTTTGCATGCAAACAAAATGAGAGTTTCCAACGGCTAGGTTTGACCGGATCTGTACAAATGGTGAGATAGAGCTGTACCCTGTTGTCTTTGTCCTTCTGATCTTGAGATCTTCGAAAGGAAAGGCGGTGAAACTTGGTTCAGAATCCGTGTAAAGAAACATGTCTGCTGCCCCCACGGTTTTGTGTGATCGTTTCACACGATAGTTGGGTGCACGTTCATCGTGTTGTCTTCCCCGACGGTGCAAGATGCAGGCACCCCATGCAGAATTTTGAATCACTGCACAAGCAACAGTTCAAGCATTCCTGAAACATTGCCTGCACTGCACAAGCAACAGCTCACGTGTTTCTGGTTTCTCATGAATCCGTGCGCGTGCTATCAACGTTGCTGCTTGAGTACTGTGAGAGAGTTGAGAGCTCAACCACCTGCTCTTGCCACTTTCGGACGCTTTCCCTATGTTGATCGATCAGTTGTTCATGCAGCATCTTCCGAGCGGACGTCTCTTGCTTCTCCTCTCCCATAGTCGATTTCTTGTGCTTTGTTCTTCTCCCCACCGTTTCGTCTGCTGTGAGGTGGTCTGAACCTGGTAAGGATAGAGCTTTTGTTGAACTTGCTGCCTGACTCTCCCGTCTACCTTCGTCGCCACTCTCGTCATCGATATAGTCCATAAACTCCTCTATCCACTGTTGGTCAATCGGAGAATGGCTCTCATAATCCTCCTCCTTCACCAGCTCCTCCTCCTCGTCTGGCTTCTCCTCCTTCACCAGCTCCTTCTTCACCAGCTCCTTCAACTGCTTTGTCTCTTCGCTCTCATCCATCTGCTTTGAAATCCCACCTTGAAGCTTGCACGATGAGGATCTTGTGAAGCAACTCTCGATGTCATGAGAATGTCAATACACTCTTCCCCTTGCCATACAAGCTGACTTGATGGGAAGAGAGCACAGGTTTCAGCCACAGCTCTTTTCGCAGGAGTGAAGAGGTCGAGGCACAACTGCAGCAAGAGGGTGAGTGGTTCGCAAGGGATGATGCTCAGACAATCTCTGTGCGGCAGAGAGAAATCACACTGCATGAAACGCTCCTTCCCTTGACTTGCGTTGATGGCTGCCCTCTCTGACACTCCTCATTCTACGGTTTGACAAGAACAAATTAACCTCGTTTGTCCCAGACTTACAGGTACTCCTCTCAGTCAAGTTCTTACTGCAGAAAGATTTCAACACTTCCATGCCTTCTCTTTGACTCGTCCTCGTTCACCCTTCGTATCTCAATCTTTGTCTCCAATGTTCTTATTATCAGGAACCTGATTGGATCCCAAACCCTTCTGCACGTCAATCCAATTCACCGCGCCCCTTGCTGTTCTGGTTTCTTCCACACTATTCGATTGTCCACAACATTCCTCTTCTTCTCTCCTTTTCGCTCTTTCTTCTCACTCACTTCCTCTCGCGCTTTTCTACTCTCCCTTTCCCTTTCCCTCCAGTCTGCCATTGCGACGTCACGGTACCGCCAATTTTCCTCTGGCGATCTTTACTGCACGCAGGCTGGGCCACGAGTTTGGCCACAACAAAGGCCACGAGTTTGAGTGAGACAACTCCGGATAGCCCCGGAGACGAAATAAATTTTAAAGTTTCGACGGTCTGGAGATCCTGCAAGCCCTCAAGAGAACAGAAGCATCCTTGACTAGACTTGTAGGTGTGTAGACCCGGGGCCCGGTCAGCCAGGGCCGCGGGCCACCGTGACTGCGGGCCGCGGCACCGGGCCGTGCCAGAGAGCGGCGGCCGACTGCTTGAACTTCCGGAAACCGTCAGTGACAGAAGGCCGCCCGGCCGGGCGCCGCGCTTGCGGCCGGGCACCGCGGTCATAGCAATGGAACTGGCAATGGTCTTGCAGTTTGCCCCCGCCGGGGCCTCGACACGGGTGGCGGTCCGGGGCCGCCGGGCCGCGGGCAGCGGCGAAATCAAAATGCGGCGGTACTAGGGCCCGCGGCTGGGCCCCGGCTCAGTCAGCAGCAGATCGGACCGTCGCGGGCCGCGCCTCCCGGCGGCGGGCCCGGGCGGCGCCGCTGGCCTTTTGATCGACTACAGGCTACTGTTAGTAGCTTTTTAACCGCTTGACTCTGCGACACCTGTCTGCCTGAAGAGTTCGACCGAACGCACGTCTCCGAAGGACCACGAGCTCGAGGCTGCTGGGGGCGATCTACATCCATCGGATCGTATCTGACGGCGTGACCACAGACTTTCCCTACAGCGTTAACATCTTTAAATCATTTGTAATTTGGGATCTCAAACACTGCGAACTCGCGTCCCATCTCGTAGCCCTGAAAGTCTCCCCGTCGCAACAGGGGAAAATACGGCTGAGGGACGAACGTTTGTGAAGCTCCATGGCTCCAGAGGGAGGGAGGGAGAAATCGCAAGCTCATCGCTGTGAATATCTCACAAATACTGGGAGGTTGTGAGAGCGCTGTGGATGGAAGGAGAGGAGAGGAAAGGTAGAGGTATTTGATCAACGTTGCTGGAAGGACCTAGGATTATGGATCCTTGACAAGGACGAAATCTGATGCTCGAAGACAAACTTTTCCTGCCCGATGACCTGATGATGGTGAAGGGATTTGTGTCATCGCCTGAATCTGCTCTACCACGTCATCTACAAATGCATTGTAAGACTCGAACATAAACCCAGAACTCCATCTTCCCCATCGCTATGCTCTTCAGCCGTGTAATGTGGTGGATGCCTGATTGTAGTGCCCGTCATGCTTGAACCAGGTGACGGGCAGGTTGCGATACCGCTGAATTATCTCCTTACTAAACCTTTTGGTGACCAAGGACGAAGGATGTGGGACGAAAAGGCTGTAGCCATGTACGCAGGTAGAAGGCAAGTGACCTCATCTTGAATCGCTCTAGAGATGTAATTCAAGGGATGGAGAGAGGCAAGCACATAAGATGTTGTAAGATGACGAGGCGCAGAGAGGAGAAGTGACGGACGAAAGGGAGGCTGGGAGGAGGCACATACTTAGAAACAGCTCGTTGATTAGGAGCATGGCAAGTCATTGAATTCCATACATCATGAGTTTTCCTATTTGACATCACTGCTTCCGGCTCCTTCCCCCGTTATCAATCTTTGTCATCGTCGTCGTCCAGCTCTTGTAACAGCTTGTACACAGGAATTTATCATTGCCTGACTTACCCCAAAGGCAGACATACCTTCTTGTATCTAGCTTCCATTTCTTCATCATGCAATCTCTTCTTCTCCTCTTCTTCTTGCTAGAAGTAAAGGATCAACAAATACAATCATAGCTCGATGAACCGAGTCCAAAGCACCTTCCTCCTTTGATCATGCTCTTGTATGACGGCTTGCCGGTTGGTCCTTACCTGAATAACCACAGGAGAGATTATCATCAGGTTCCCCAATCAATCTGAGACACATACCCAGTTCTGAATGGTCGACAATCCTCCCTCTAACACATCTTTCGGAGGAGAACACACTGTTGGAAGTTACCAAGGCCACGACCATGAAGGTAACATGATGTGATCGGAACCTGGATTGTTCTTGAAAAAGAGCCTCGTGAGAACGGGACACATCGCAACCTAGACGGACGGAAAGATCTTAATCCTGAGCTAGAGCAAGCTCGAAACGAAAGGTCTGAGAGCAACTATCAAGGATCAGCAACGCACCGCTCGGATGTCTTTTATCGCATTCGAGCTCAAATCAAGATCTTGAAGAGCAGTCAATCTGCTAAAACTATAGATAGCGGCAAAATGAGCTGCAGCCAAAGAAACTAAAAAACTCACCTCCCTTCATCTTGCATTTCAAAACGAGGCAATGATACAAGTTTGTTCCAGCTGCAACAGAGTGAAAACGACGAAGACGACTCTCCTGTCAAAAGGTACCTTATGTTGAGGTCCTGGATGCCGTGAAAGTGCTTGTCAATGCCGTCCAACTGGTGAGAACGGCCGAGTTACAATCATGTCAAGCATCAACCTTCTTCAGGGTGAAGTTTACATCACTGATCAGGTTGTGCGAGAGGTCGATCTTCTTCAATGCTGGCAACTCCAGCTCTACATCATCCAGGAGAGTCAGGGGGAGCGTTGTTGCAAGGGTTCAGAAGCACACCGGGGACACGGTTGATTACATTGTTGCTGAGGTTCAAACTTTCCAAGTTAGTGAACCTCGAGAAAAGTTTGGGCACGCAGTTGAGCTGATTGCGGCTGAGATTCAGCGTCTTCACCTGCCAGCAGTCAAGAGGGCGGCAGGTCGATAGCATCCACCAGTCCTTACCCAGTACATGGAGCCGATAGCCTTCCAAGACAAGACGATGTTGGGGTCAACAGGTTCAGGGCGGTCAGCACTTCTTGTGAGATCCCTGTCCTTTGCCTCTGCTCCCGTCGACCGATGGGCCGGGTCGACATCATCACCTCCCCTATCCAAGCAGAGCAGAGGTCAAGACGACACTCGCCCTCCCACAGTGGCGCATACTGATACTCAGAATCTGCGACGCCCGAGTCTCCCACTCCCCGTCCCTCGGGTGACTCACGATGGAGATGGTCAGCGGCGACCTGCATCGAAGAGTGTCACAGAAGGCAGGGCGTTGCTGATTTAGCAGGACTCTCCATCCATTCTGCTCTTCCTATCCCGTTGTTCTCCAGAGTCAAGGACTCCAGAGCTGGACAACTTCGAAGGCAAGACAGAACCGCTTCCTGGACGAGGTCGTAAGCGGCGACATGGACTCAGATGAGACCATCCTTACCGATGTGAGACCAGCTCCTAGACCTAGCTCTGTCAAAGATGTGAACTTTGCTAAACCACCCTCGCTGGGTGTTCCTAGTGGATTTGCAGAAAGAACGAGGGAATGAAGTTTAGGAAGGCTAGACAGCAGTCAGCACAGACGATAACTAGGAGAGGAGATAATCATGACAATACAGGATCCCTGGCCACATAAAATCCAACTCTGATCAACAGCCTAGAGCATCGTTGCTTACTTGGATAAGAATGTCGGCCAGTCTTGCAGTTGATTGGAAGACAGGTCTATGCTTTCACATCGGAAGAGTCCTATCTGTTTGCGAGCATCCGAGTAGTGACGCCCAACGCCCTCGATCCTGTTCCCTGACAGATTCAACACGCGCAGAACCTGCATGCCCCAGAGCTCATCCGGGAACGACGACAGGTCGTTGTGGGAGAGGTCCAGTTGCTCGAGGAGAGGCAGCAGCAGCGAGAGTCCAGGGACAGTGCGGAGCGACAGCGAAGAGAGACTCAGCTCCCTCCTACCCTCTTCCCTTGCCCTCCTGCTTCGAGCCTCTGCCTCCCCCCATCCTCTACCTCTCCTCCCCTTTCCCAACCCTCCCCCCATTTCCGCTCAGCAGTTGACCGTACGGAACCACGTATGTGGGGTGACCAGATACCCACAAACTTGCGATCAAGCAGGATCAAGGCCCAGATCAAGGCCGGCTGAGGGACACAGGAGGGAGGGCGGAGGGAGAGGAGAGGAGAGGAGAGGAGGGAGAGAGAGGAGGGAGGGAGAGGAAAGGAGAGGAGAGGAGGCAGGGAGGGAGAGGAGGCAGGGAGAGGAGGCAGGGAGGGAGTGGAGGGAGAGGAGGCAGGGAGGGAGAGGAGGCAGGGAGGGAGAGGAGGCAGGGTGGGAGAGGAGGCAGGGTGGGAGAGGAGGCAGGGAGGGAGAGAGAAATGGTCATATATGATCTCATCTCATTGGCTATGTGATATGTTATCTCCACACCCCTGGGTATGCATCTTCAAACTCTTGCTCGTCATCGAGGTCATCAAACGTGTCCAGCAGGACTGAGGTCATCTCCGAGCGCTTCGAAAGCAGCTGCAACATACGTGTTAGTACAGACATGCATCAGAACAAGTCACGGTTTCACAACCTTCACGATGTGGCTGAGTTTGGTCTCTCTGGACGTGCTATCCTGCTCCTGGATCGCCCGCAGCAAGTTTTCGTCGTCTTGATCTGCATCCGTGAAGGTAGAGAAGAATTCGTATGAGCTGTCAAGGAACTCTTGGCGCGGGTCAACAGCAGACGTATCGAACAAGGACTAGTCCAAGGTTTGACGATCAGCATGCTCATTGCAACCTTCTCTTCTCACCTGTCTCTGCGGTCTCGGCCTTCGCAGCTTGGAAAGAAGTTTGTTGGGCCTCAGTTTTCGTATTCCTGGCATGACGTGGGTGAAAAGAAACGAGAGAGTGCAGATGATCGAGGACGGACAGGGCAGGGAAGAGTACAGAAGGGCCTGAAAAGGCCAGACGGGAGAGAGAGGAGGGGAGAGAGGAGGGGAGAGAGGAGGGGAGAGAGGAGGAGACAGAAGCTTGCAGAGAAGGTACTGACTTGAGCCGACGTTGAGCTCATGGATCAGCTTCTTGTTGATCTGATCGTCCTTGCGATCGACGGACTTCCCATGGGTTTCCTGCTGGTGGCAGTCAGAAGAGAGGAAGAGGAGGAGGAGGAGGAGGAGGAGGAGGAGGAGGAGGGAGCTCGAGCTTGCGGGCTACCGGGGGATGGACATGCGACAACCAGAAGGCATCCTTGTACCTGGCAGCCTGCCGTTAACACCGTTGTGAGGCCGACGGCAGCATGCAGCTCACCCAGCGCAGAATAAAGCTCCTTGTCTTGCCTCCGTCGTGCTCGGGGGGGGCTGAACGATTCCTACCTTCTTCCCTTGCCCGCTCGTTGACTGCACGAGCAAGTCAGGCAGCAAGAGAGCCTCGAGAGCTCTAGCCTCTGACCTTGTTCTCAGAAACCTTTCTTGCTATGCCCCTCTGTCGCTTCTCGACAGACCCGAAGTCTACGTGGAATGTGTCAACACGTCAGGAGCATCCTGGTCCTCGGAGGCTGCTGTCACCGGCCCACCAGCAGTCGAAATGAGCATCTCTTGACAGCAGAGTCCCCTCTTTGTCCACGTACTGCAGAAATGCAGACAACCATCATGTCACATCAGCCACAGTCAGGGCAGCTCCTCGCACCTGCGCAAGATAGGCATCCGACCTGCACAGACTGGAGATCCGCACTTTGTCCCCAGGCTACGGCTGGTGAGATCGCAGTGAAGGACGCCAAGGAGGAGAGGCACCTTGGCGTTGTAGATGGTGACCAGCACTTCTTCCTCCTCAGCTGCCCAGATCGGTTGCAGCTCCTCTGCTAACTGTACAGGATCGTAACCGGCAAGGCCTGCAAGGTTGTATCGGAACCATCGAGAAGGTCTTGAACTTGGCGTTGGGGAGAACTCTCTGGTCATACTCTGAGCCCCACCTGCAGGTTTGACTCTCTCAGTGTTACACATGGAAATCTTGCTGCACCTTTGGATTTTGCTGTTGGAGATGTTCACAGCCTTGAGCTCTGCCATCTCTACTGCTCTGAGCCACGACTTCAAGATCGTCTTCCCCTGCCCCTTTCTCCTAGACAGCTCCTGCTGGAGCACCTGCAGAACCATCACAGACCGCCAATCCTATGTTCACGGCAGCACGTCATGCGCAGCTTTCTCGCTCTGGTCGCGAAGCTTGTCCACTACTTGAACAGTGTTCTCGGTTGCTAGAGGACTGTTCTGGATATGCTTCCAGCTGCGTTACAGTCACTTGGCGCGTACACGCATGCATGCTCTTACTCCCAGTAGCTCTTTCCTCCTTGACCACCTGTAACATGCACAAGGACTGTGAGGCACGAGCGACAAGTCAAGGAGTTTGCCTGAAGGGTTCGGGCACACTTGATTCAGCTCTTCGTCTTTTGGTCTGGTCTCCTCGTCTTCGTCTGCCATGTGTACAAGTGAGGTTTCTCTCCTGATGTTGAGCAGTACATCTCAGACCTTGATTGGTGCTCTCTGTCCTGTACAGGTGCTCATGACACGGGTTCATCCTCTTCTTAGACGCAAACAAGATCTTCCCGTAGATTGTCGCGGGGTCGCTCTCTTCGTTCTCCACGGCCCACACGCTCGCAGGAGATCGTTTCGTGGCTTTCTGATCAAGAACAACTGAAGACATCGTGCCGTGCAAACTCTCACCTTCATCCTCGAACCTATTTGCCTTGCGCAGCTTCAGGGGGTGGCGCTTTGAAGAGATTATCAGGTATCCTGCTCTCCTCGCGGTCTCTCCTCCTACAGTGTGCACGTTCACTCTGAATGGTTTGCCTGCTCCGTTGTCGATACGAGGAGGCAGCAGGAGCGGGTCGGGATGGGCCTCCAGTTCCTCGTGGGACATGGGCTCTGCTTCGAAAAAGATGCGTTGAGTCCAGTCATCGTCAATCCCAAAGGATTCTTTGAACATCTCGTCCACTTCATAGCTCCACGACCACTTCAGTGCAAGTGTCAGTCGCTCCTTGTCTTGCTCGTGCTTGGATGGACCCTCCTTTCCTCCCCCCTTCTTTTTCGCGGCTGCTGCCATACCCAGAAAACCGTTTACAATGGGAAAGTAGGGCCAAGGAATGATGCTTGCTAATCGAAAGGAGGAGGCTCACGAGGGGACAGCATGCTGTCAAGACAGTGACACGAGACTCTGAGAGCAGAAAGTCAGCTGAAGGCGTCGGGCCCTTTCCTTCGCTCCTCCTCCTCCCGGTTCAGCATCGCCGTAGTCGTTGCTACCGCCATCCTAGGGAAGTTAGCAGCAGAATGTATAACGTGGAGGCCTGGGCCCCGGCGGCCGGGCCCACGCCGCGGCCGCCGGGGTCAGTACGCGGCACTACGCCGGTACGGTACGCGTACTCAGCCTGACCCGGCTGCGGGGCTGCGGGGGCCGCCGCGGCTACCAATGGCGTCCTGGAAGTGCCTAGCCGCTGAGCTGAGTGACCAGACTTGGCGGCGCGCAAGCGGCCGGGCTCAGCCTGACTCTGTGACTCCCGCGCTCACTGCAGAGTCAGCCTGGACTCCCGAGGCCCGAAAACTTGATGATGCGCACAGTCTCGGATCATCATGGTGGCTGTCAGGTACAAACTAATGCTCCCTAGTACTAATACTCAGATTACTCCAAGATGGTAGGAGTACTAATACTCAGATTACTCCAAGATGGTAGGAGTACTCATACTCAGATTACTCCAGCCGCCACGCGGATGCAGAGGTTGTTCATCGTCGAGTCCAGCGTGCAGATCCGGATGGGGATCATCGCGGCCCGCGTGGGGGTGCCACCAAGCCTCGGATGGTAGGAGTACTACTACTCAGATTACTCCAAGATGGTAGGAGTACTACTACTCAGATTACTCCAAGATGGTAGGATGCAAACTCTGATTTGATTTTATGCAAAGGTTTAGGTGCAAGTTGACTTTCCATCAAACATTCTACCATTGTAATGATCAGTTTCACAATGATTCGTGAATAGAAATCTCACCACAAGAAAAGATATACATTAGTGCATCACATGGTACCAACAAGCTCTAACTCGCCATGCAAGCTGCTCCTTAGCTGCTGCACCTCTGCATTAACCCATAAGAGCGTCGAGCTCCCATCCGAATCACACCTAGCATCCGTTCTCCATTGTAGATCCCAGCATGAAACTCGTCAACATATAAGGTGTTCGTGATATCTTTGCGCTTGAGCATAGAACGCTTGATGAGTATGAGAGGTATGCACAACTAAGAAGGACATGGATCAACATAGAAATAACTAAGGCATGACATGGCGCTGCAATTCCTTGATTTCTTCGCGCAGAGCAGGAGCCTGGTCATTTTGAAAGCTGGAGGGGGTTTTGGACTGGAGAGATCGAATCAGATCATGATGCAGCAAGAAAACATAAGATAGTCTCACATTTTCTCTCTCGACATTATCCAAGCCCTGTCACAATGGCATCAGAAAGCACGAATACCTCTGGCAACAAGGAGATTTCACTCGCAAAGGACAACACAAGTTCCATCAATCACACGTGAAAGATCAATAACCTGAAATCCTGCCTCTGTCAGCTTCAACTCCACAAGCACAACCCCAAGAATGAGCATCCCGCCAACCACTGCCGCACCGAGCAGCATAGGGAGGGACTGCCGATGCAGCTTTTCAAGTTTGGTAGTCGGGGCTGCAAGCAGCTTCAAGGGGGTAGATATGGTGGCAAGTCTGGGGGTGGGTGGTAATGGGAGTATGGGGGGATGAGGGTAACTTTGCTGCTCCAAGTTTGTGAGTGATGGGCGGTAGTATACAAAACAACTACTGTGAATGTAAATGATTGTTACTGCGATCTTGATTGTGACTTTCGATGCCCATCATACTTCGAAGCATCAGAGCACTATCTCTACTGATGGAATCACATGGGAAGCCTTCCCACCTCTACCGTTCGAGGTTCCAGGTCTGCAGCCATAAGATCTGTTCTACCTCGTAGGCTGAAGAGTTACCGATGATCAAGTCGCTGCGAAGAAAAACATTTCCCCACCAAAACTTTGACGTTTGAAGAAAAAATGAATTTTCATTTAAAATCAACTTCATATCACTTCTACAAGAATAAAAAAAATCCTGGATAATCCTTGTTTTTTCTTAAGTTTTGTTATTTCTTCATCTCCACCAGGCCATTTGGTTAAGCTCATTACTCAATCGCTCAACACTATAGTCCCATTCCATCTCCCAACCTGTTCCGCAAATTCGCATTCTCCTGCTCAAGAGCTTCGTTCTTCTTCAGCAGCATCAAGTTCTGCTCTTCGAACATTGCCAGTCGCTGCTCGAGCTCCTGCAGCTGATTCTTCCGCCTTTGTCGAGATTTCTCTGCTGAGAGACGGTTCTTCGCTAACCTCTTTCTCAATCTCTCGTCCTCGATCGATTCCAAGTCATAGCGAAGACCCTTCTTGGTCTTGCTTACCGAAATGGGAACGTTCTCACCATTCGGAAGTATTTCTAGCACGATGCTCTCCATGGAAGGATCTCTAGCAGCGGCTGCTGCAAGCACCTTGTTGATATCGAAGCCCTCATCAACCCCAGCGATCATCTCTGGTGGCTCGATCATCTCCTCAGCTGAATCCGTTGGCGACTCTTCCGTCGACTCCGAAGATCCGAACCAGCCCGAGCATTCGTCCACGGCAACCATTTCTTGCTCAAGGCAGCCTTCCAGGTCGTAGTCTTCTAGAGAGAACTCTGTTGATAGTTCGGCAATATCCCCTCTTCCTCCCAGCAGTCGGATCGTCCACTCCAAAGTCTGCCCGTCCTTCACGCCGTAGTCTACGAGGTACTTGTGGTCTACTAGCTCCTTTCCACCGCAAGAGATCCTCAAGCTTCGTGAAGGAACCCGAGAGATGTCCGTCAGGAAAGTCTTGAGGTGGAGGATAGAGGTGTGGGGGGATACTAGCGTCGTGACGGTCTTCGCGCTTTTTAAGAAAATCTGCATGCCTGTTGCTCCGATCCTCCGTCTCTCCCTCTATATAGCCCCTCCTTCATGGCCACCCCCACCCCCTTACATCTTTTGAACCCTTTCTTTGTCCTTTCACTACCCCCATCTTCCCAGGTACTGTGCACAAACCCGGTCAAATACTACCCACCCAAGCGACGGCAACGGGTTCCAGACCCACCCACACTTTCCCCATACCAAGAAGTTATCGAGTGGGGTGGGGGTTACACATCAAAGAAGACCAATAATAGCATCAAATTTGTACCATAAATCTGAAGATTCAGTCATCTCTACCATGAATTGATTAAAAACAATATATTAGTTTTCCGAAAAGCAATTATCTCCAGATTTCCAACCTTTCATTTGGAGCTCGAGATCCTTAAAATATATTTTAGGACAAGTTTTAATATATCTTTTAATTTAATAATGTTTTAGATTGCTCCATTGTCCTTCAGAAGTTCAAGGTTTATATGCGATTAGTTCTAACGCTGGAGATGATTAGTTCAGTAATCATCTCAAAAGTTCTTCAATTAGTAGGAAAGGGTTTTCAATAAGTTCTATGATTCTCTTATTCTTTGGTTTACTCTTCCTCTGCTCGACCAAAGGTTCCAGCTTACATTAACGTGTCAATTTCAGAGCCCTTCAAAAGTTCTTGCTTTGAGCCCAAAGTTCCTGAATTCAGGTAGAAAGTTCATTTTTGGCCCGCTTCAAGTTCTTGTCCTTCTTTACTTTCACGGTACAAATTTGCAGATGAGTAAACTATTTGAGGCTTTTCAAATCCCCTCAAAATCCGTCATGGCTCACTGGTCAGGGTGGAGATGAGGGGTGACCGAGGGTCCCGCCTTGTGACCGGCGCGTGATCAACTTGGCAACCACTATTGGCACGGTCCAGAAACTGCTTTTAACTCAGTGACGCCCCCGGGCCACCCTGGCGCCGCGGCCGGATACCGGGACCCCGGCGCCGGGCCCATCATACCGGGCCGCGGGTGGAAGGGCCGGACTCGCTCAGAGGCTGGCCGCGGCGCCCACGGTCCCGGCCGGGCCGAGTCCGCGGCTCGCCGCTGACAGTCACACGGTGCTCAACGGTCCGACACGGCTCAGCTCCTGACTCTCTGGCTCAGTGATCTGCCATTTTCCTCGTTATGCTCTGACTTCACTTTAATCGGGAGTCCCTCGCTGTCACAGACGGAAGTTTACTAAGTTACCGGCGCCGCGTCGCCATCTTCATCGGGCGATGCTGATGCGGCAGGATCATCCGCAGCTTGCATTGGGTTCCTTGCTACTGCAGCGTCGTCGGAGCACATGTCTCCATATTTGATTGTTCCTCCATGTATGCAGAGCTGAAAATTCCATACTCAGCGATTTGAAGCACGATTCTCACTCAGGCAAGCCAGTCAACTTGCTCAATTCCGTACTACCTCCTTGCCCCCCGGAATCCCCCCTAAGCACACCGGCATTTTGCCTCTCATTCGATACGGACCTGCATGAGGTTGTCTGAAGCCTTCAATCTTCTTCCCAGCACCATCTGCCACAAGGCTGTATGAGACGGGGCTGCAGTTTCATATAGTCTCTGCAGGTCTGACCTGACACCTTGCTCTGTTCCGTGTGTAGGGGACCACGTGCTTGAGAATGCTTTTTCTGACACACAGTGGGGCAAAGTTGAGAGTAAGAGAGATGGATTCTGAGAGAGCCAGCGCATGATGTGGCCATTTGCGAGGGATGTAAATGATCTCGCCGGCCTGTACCACGTTCACTGAAATCACATCAGAAGGAAGGTTCCAGATCTTACTTTCAAGATGGTTTGAGCAGGGACCGCCTTTGATTGATCAGGAAACTTGTGACTATTGGGAGGTTTTCTAGATTGAAATGGTCACTGTTCAACAATCCAGAGAGTGATCCGCCTACAATAGATCCACCCATTCATTTTCTTCCCTCTCAATGTATTTGCGATGAGCAGGATGATACAGTGTGAATAGTTTTTCCCCTTCAAGCATGCCCAGCCCTGTGAATATCGTGATTGTTTTGTGTTTTGAGAAAACCACCTTACAAGCATCTGTCTCCCAAATATCAACATGAAGTTTCGATTCTGTTCCCTTCGGCCCAAAGAACAGCCACTGTGCACATCTGTCAGCCTCTAGTCCCCAACAACATCTTTGCCTCACTCGGAAAGGAGGCCTGAGGTCGGGTGAGAGGTTCTCGAACATGTCGTTTGCATGAAAATGATCGGGAGGCGAGAAGTCTTCCACAAGTTCGGGGATATCATCGGAGAAGTACCACTGCGAAGCTCTCAGGCATTCTGCTCAAATCAGCATTTTTCTCACTGTTCTCAGGTAGGGAGTCGAAGAACCAGCAGGTAGGTTTTCGTACTCTTGGAATTTCGATACTAGTATATGGCGTCATGCCAATGAAGTTTTCTTCGAACGGTGAAAATTGAAGCTCAGGAATAGGAAGTATTTCTTACTGTATTCATCCAGTGTCATGGTTGTTTTCTTTCCTGACATCCAAATCATTTGGCATCATACTTGAGCCAGCAGGTACCTCCAATATCGATAGGGCATACTACGTTCCCATACGTCTGTCGAAACCATTGCAGGCTCCACTGGGTACTTTCGGGTGAGTTTGGATGAATCAGAGATGCATCATGGTTTCAGACTTTACGCGATCCTACTTTCCATGCAGGCCATCCGTCCATGGCCCCTGTCAACACCACGGGCATCCCTCTGGATTCCAGATTTCAGTGATACAATGAAATGGAGCAGGGGGCTCCATCACCTGCTGATGTAATTCTTTTCGAAGTCTTCGGGTGTGATATCGTTGACATGGATCCGTTCGATCTCTCCACAAACTTCTGCTCCTGCATGGTATTGCTGTATCAACTTTTGGGCTAAACCACAAGCTCATCAGGAATCATCCCTGCGCCTGGAACCAAGGGGATTCTCTCCAACTAGTCAATACAGTACTCCTTTCGCCCTCACCGACCATCCTTGAACTCACTCTACTCCATCTCCATTCTCGTTCCCCTGCGCGCCCCCTCTCCTCCTCCCCCGCTCCTCCTCCATGCTGTGCTTGCTGACCTGTCTGTACAGTGGGCGGAGCCATAAATGGCGGGTAACCTGATATTTGTACCAATGATGTCATTACGAAAGCTATTAGTTACTTTTAGTAACTAATATTCATCGCCTAAAATCAGGAACCCCGTAAATGTACCGGATTACCACAAGAAAGAGTACCAGATTATTTACATATATAGTTGGTTGTATCAGCAATTCAGTACCAAAAAACAAGAAATATTTCCAATTATGGATTTGTTTTACATTCTAGTACTACACCGAGGATTACATGTACGACACGATTTTTAAAATTCTGAATTCGCACTACCATGTGAAATTGCCAGCTTCGATTGTATAATATTTTTAAGAATAAAAAAGAGTTGGGGACTGGTGGTTGGAGCTGGAATATGATGGGAATGACGGGGTGGGTACTTTTTAAAGTTTTGAACCAAGTACGGGTGGTTGCAATTCCGAAGCAATTGTCTACCCAAGGTGGGGTGGTCTTGATGCAAGTTGAAAGGTGCCAGAGAGGAGTAGAGGGGGTGGGGTAGTTTTGGAAGGGATTGGAGGTGTACAGCAGAGAATCGAATGAGGGGGTAGGGGTAGCATTCAAGAGGGGTAAGGGAAAAAAAGGGGGGTAATATTTGTATCTTCCTAGGGGGTTTGTTCCTGATGCTAAGGTGGTGGGGTACAGAATTCAGGGGTGGTTCATTTTCTAAAAAATGAATTGCAGCCAGGGTGGGGGTGATATGAGTAGGGGTACTTTTCCGCTTAGGTTGACGGGTGAGGCTTATCTCAAAAGTGATTTTAATTCTTAAAAAGTTTTTGGGGGTCGCGATGGTGGAGAGAGTTTAGGAAGCGAAGGGGGATGGGAAAGGGCAAGGGGAGGTAGGAACGAGGAGGTCAGGGTAAGAGAAAGGAGACCTTACATCGAGATCAGGATGTGGGGAGGAGGAGGGAGGAGTTTGGGGCCTCCCCTTCAGTGTCTAGCGCCTTGATTGAATATGCAAGTTCTTTCCCTGTGGTCGTAATGCTGGACTCGGGTATGAGGAGTGATGAAGGATGATGTAGAAGCATGCGAAACCTCATCTTGATTGTTTTAGAATCACTGATTGACCGCCAAGATGTCCTGTCGTTCTGTTTGAATGCCTCCTTCGGCAGGTCTTCAGAACGTGAAAATTTGGGGGCAGCGAAGCTGGAATATGCCGTTCTTGACCGCATGTGAAAGCAGACTTTGTATGAAGCGAGAAGGAGACAGAGAGTGAGGCCAAAAGGGCAGGGACCCCGCAAATCATCTCAAGGTTTCATTTCGTATCCGGCTGACAGGTCGACGTGGATAAGAACACCTCGAGTGTGGTTTGTCCTTCAGTAGAGGAGATGGAGGCGATCGACTGGCTCACAACCATTGGATCTGCGTATGTTGAGATCCTGCACGTGCGTGTTTCTTCCTCTTGGATCTGTTTCATGGCCTCACCTACTCCGACAGAACAAGTTTCAAGAGAAATGTACAGCTCACAGCCAAGTGCACCAGTCGTTCAAGGTGTCCAAGAGCACATTTCGAGACCTGATCTCCATCATCGATGGTTTGCCACCGTCATGTGAATTTCAGAATGGGAAGAGAGCAGCACTGATTTAGGTCACTTCAGGTTTGAATCAGTGGTTTGAGGCTCTACAAGACCAGGACGAGACGTCCGTGGACTTCCGCAGGTTTCTCTCGACAGCCGCTATCGCGTGGTTTGAAGATTTATTGACCGCATGCTGATGTTTTGACTTCCTTTCAGCTTTGAAAGACAACAGGCAAGGAGGGAGAGCATGGACAGTGATGAAGAGGGCGACAGCGTACAGGTCAGGCAGATTGGTTGTGGCATGTCCTCGCCTTTGAAAGTCTTCAAGTTATTTAGCCGAGATTGGATCACAAGAGTTCTCTTTGGACTGTATAAGAACTCGTCGGAAGGAATGGTTGACTAACAACGCTGTTGCCACGCCTGCAGTGGCTTTGATACTTTACTGTTCGGCAGATGGACTTCGATTGCTTCGATCAAGTCATTCGAGATGTTCACTTGGTCCCTTTATTCTTCGGAAACAATCAAAAAAGCCAGCCAGATCTAAAAGTATGATATGCTTCTTTTATCAAATTATTCATGAGCATTGCAGGAAATAGTGCAAACACGATGGGCAAGAAGACGACAAGGTTTCTTGACCCAATGCCGATGTTCGTGTTCTAACTTTGTTGGAAAGCAGAAGACTTTATGAGCTTGGCCGACTTCTGCGATGCAGTTGCAGACCTTGAGCTGGTGAGTTCATAGATTTCCCGGCTTGCCTTCTGAAATTTTGCGCAGCCACCGAAAGGGAGCGAAGAGACCGATGGTTGTAGCCTTTCTTCCGGTCAACCTAGGACCTCCTACCCTATCGTCAGGCTGAACGGAAAGATCATCCCCAAGGTCTGCAGACTGAAACCAATACATGGCATCACAAAAATTTCAATCGCTCACAACACAGGACATCACACTAAAGAAACGATTTTTGTCTCTGTTGTACATCTGATACCATTGTATTCAAGGCAAACGCAGAAGAAAAGATCGATTCGCAGAATCGGCAAAGTTGGGTATACGTTGTGAAGGGGCCTCTCAAGGTGAGCAGGGGACGGGGATGAAATGTGTCAGAGAGAAGAATGATGGGTTCGAAGGTCACGCACCTCGAAGTTGGCCTCAGACGGCGGTTGCGAGACTTGGTGGCCAAGGGCGGGGACAAGGTCGAGAGAGGAGAAGAAGGAGTTTGTGGTCTGATGGAGACGAGCAGGTCCTTGTGGAGATTATAACAGACAACCATGTCGAATCAGAGTCAAACATCTGCGACACCACCACCTTGCAGCATGACAACAACCACAGGTTACCCTCCTACCTATCCCTTCCTTCCCTCACGCTTCCCTTCCCTGCCCCCCGCAGGTGCAGCTGGCCGGAGCTGAAGTTAAGGCCCTTCGATGTGAAGGAGCAACTTCAAGTTGTCTTCACGAGGTTGAACAGCGTCGTGCCCCATGACGATGGCGAGGGGAAGGAGAGCGAAGCAAGGCCCGTCGAAGTCGCTGAGGTTTGCCCACAACCGTAGGCGCTCCTGATCCTGAAAGGTGCATTCAGGTGGAGGAGCTTTCCAAGTCAGAGGAGCAGGGGAAGCAGCAGGGGAAGCGCGCACTATCCGACAGCGATGCTGGAGATGACAAGCATGACAAGAGACAGAAACAAGAACATCACCTTGACCCCAATCAAGACTCACGACCTGCCGAGCAGGCGCACGTTCCTTCCTCAGCTCAGTCTGAGCCTTCAGTCAAGAGGGACCCTGCAATCTCCTCCTCCTCCTCCTCCTCCTTCTCCTCCCCTTTCAACTCCCCCTCAAGCTCCATGGTGGAATGCCCCTCTTGTCACTCGCGGGTGCTGCGGAAGCCTTCGACTGACGCCTCGCAGACCCTCGGGGCTCGTCGGGCGCCATGGAAGCTCGCCTCTCACACAGTGAAGCTCAACCGCTACCAGGGAACCGTCGAGCGCTTCGAGTCCTTGTGGTCCTACCGCTCCAACTCTCATGGGGACGAGCACACGGGCACGGGAACTTACTCCGGGCCTCACACCCCTCGATCTCTTCGCCCGCACACGCCAACTGGAGGAACCGCCTCGCCTGTCCCCATGGACTCGCCGCATCTTCGCGTGCTCGATCCTGAAGGAGCGGCAGGCGGCATCGGGCATGCGGCATCAGGCCTAGACACGCAGAGGAGGAGCGTGACGAAGAACAGCGATGGAACCTTGTTCGAGATGCAGTCAGCTCCCAACCAGCTGCTCGAGGCTCTGCGCTTCTTTGAGCTCCCCCTACCCGAGAAGCAGAAGCCGGCGTACAGCTGGGGGGTGCAGGGGCCGATGCAGAAGTCTCTCCTGGCCAGGTACATCGAGTCAGTGGCGCGGGACGTGAGGAAGATCTGCCTCGCCGAGCCGAGGTGCGTGCACGTGCGGGCTCCCTGCTACATCCTCGGAGACCTCCACGGCAACTACCAGGACCTCATTGCGTTCGAGAAGGCTCTGTGGAGGATAGGACCGGCGCTATCCCCCGCAAACTTCCTCTTCCTTGGGGACTACGTGGACAGAGGGGCGCACAACCTGGAGGTTATCACCTACCTCCTCGCTCAGAAGGCTCTCTGCCCCGGCAAGATCGTCCTGCTCCGAGGGAACCATGAGATGCGATCGCAGAACTCTTACTCAGCGTACAACCCCTGCTTCAAGCAGTCGTGTGAGATGGTGCTGGGAGAGGAGCTGGGGAGTCAAGTGTGGGAGAGTGTCAACCTTGCCTTCGACACGTTTCCCATCGCTGCAATAGTGGACAACAGCATCTTCTGCGCTCATGGCGGGATCCCATCGTCCGACGTCATGCCAGGCGCTGCGGGAGCAGGAGGGCAGGCGGAGCTGATCAACGAGATCAACAAGATCCCTCGAGACCTGCCTATTCCCGATCCCTCCTCGCCCCAGGGCTGCAAACTAGCATGGGACCTCATGTGGAACGACCCTTCCCCTCCCACCTGCGAGCCAGCCCAGAAGGTCGACAACAGCGGCTTCGGGCTGAACGTTACTCGGGGCACAGCTCACGTGTTCACTGCAGAGGCGCTGGAGAGGTTCCTGCACACGTACAACCTGAGCTACCTGGTGAGGGCCCACGAGGTGAGGAAGACAGGCTTCCAGGTGCAGCAGCACAGCCAGATGGTGACAATCTTCTCGTCCTCGGGCTACTGCGGCGCCCACAACGAGGCCTGCTGCATCCTGGCGTGTGAGGGCAAGATCCGCTTCATCCGCCTCGAGCACTCTCTCCTTCCTCAGCTGGGAAGCCTTGCCTCTCGAGCAGCTGCTGCCAGCGCCATGGTCGCAGCCTTGGCTGCCGGGGTCCAGCTTCCACCGGCTCAGTGTCTCCAGGCCTCGCTCAAGTCTCCCCACGTCTACTCCAGCACGACTGAAGTGCGCGCCAAGTATCACGCGCTCAGCAACTCCAGAGGAGAGTCGCTGTCAAGCGCGGAGGAGGCAGCTGACCTGGTTGCTGCTGCCGCGCTGGCTGCTGCAGCTGTCGACCGAGTCAGCCCCCAGCAGATGCTCCACCAGAGGATCCAGCAGAAGCTGCAGGAGAGGCTGAAGGAGCAGAAGTCCAACAACGAGAACGAAGTGTTCAACTCGGAGGCGGGAGTGACTTGTGAGACATTCCATGAGGAGAGAGAGTGTAAGACGTGATTGACAGTGTCCCACTAGAATGTAATTCATACAGGGTAATATTCTCCTTCCGATAGGTTGAAGACTATCGAGCTCGTCGTCTTCACGCTGAGGTGATGAAGGGCACATTCAGCTTCCCCATCCCTGCACACGATCAGGAACAAACACAACGATGAGAAAGACAAGGAGGTTGAGGGTACCTATAAGCGGGAGCCCGTTGGTAACTTCGTTCTCCTGCCTCTTGCTCAGCATCCCCTCCGTGAGTTCACAAGGAGACTCACAGGGACGTTGTACAATGCGAGTGCCTTTTCGTTGCCGTCCGCCAGCTGCTCGGCTCTGATCCTCTCGTCCAAGAAGTCCGCGTCATGGAACTCGTGCATGTCCTTGAGCGGGGCCCTCCCCTCCACCTCCGACTGCTCGAAGGTCGGGGGCTCGAACTCCTGCGCCAACCATGAGCAGCAGCAACACCCTCGGTCGCTCCCTACGTCCTCCTCGAAGCCTGCATGCGAAATGTCCCTGGCGTTTCTCAGCTCCTGCTCTCCCGTCAGCCCCCCCCTGAACCCACGACTCGCTCACGTAGATGGTCCGCATGATGCGTCGTCGAGCTCCCAGCGTGTTGACCCCTTGCATTGCATTGTTCTCAGCAACCCCAGCAGGCTCCAAGCTGTCTTACCCATCTCGAACAAGTCGGCCTCCCTGAGCTCCAGCAGCGTCTCCAGCGAGACGTTCTGCTCCTCGAAGAGGTGCGAGTACTTGGACAGGCCCAGCCTCTTGATGATGGGAGCAGCAGAGTGCAGCCTGTGAAAGATCTGGAGGAGAGGAGCAGGTCAGAGGAACCATGAAAATACCGAAACTTCTGTGATGAGCTTGCCTGCTTCGGAAAGTACAACTTCTCATTCTCGTCCTCGTCACTGGAGCTCTCAAAGTCGTCTTCGCCATAGTTCTTGAGCTCGTTCAGACCTCCCAGCTCGTGGTCTGACAGGTCGTCCGCGTCCACGTCCACCTCGTCGTGTCCGTGCTGGTCCTCCTCAAACTCCCCGGTCGCCAGGCTCTTGAGGTCCGTGTTGAGGTCCTCGATCGTCCGCCCTGACTTGGGGTTTGTGCTCACCTCGAAGATGGTAGCCACGTGCTCCAGCCCTCCCGCCATCTCCCGGATCGTCCACTTGCTCAAGAACGGCACTCGTTCCGGAACGTTGAGGAACTTCCCCTTCTTCCTCCGGATCCCGTTGTAGAACGGCATCCCCAGCTGCTCCAGAAGTCAGCTGCCCAGCTCTCGAGCAGCAGGGGCGGCCTACCTGCCCGTGGGAGTTGCAGCCCCACGAGTACTTGTCGAGAGGCACCTTGTCGTTCATCGGGTCTACCATCTTCTCCTTGTCCGCGTCCAGACCCTGCGCGAATTTGAGAGAGCAGCGGGAGCCTGAGGGGCAGGAAGAGGAACAGGAGGAGAGGCAAGAGCATGTTGGGGGGGTGGGGGGGGGGGAGGGCAGGCAGCAGGAGAGGCAGTAGCAGCAGCAGTAGCAGGGCAGCAGGAGGATGGGGAGAAGCAGCAGGCTGAGGGGAATCGGGAGGCTGGGGATGAGCAGGATGCAGGGAGTGGCTACCTGGCTGATCATGTAGTTGGGCCCGACGAAGATGGACCTCGAGCGGAAGGTCTCGTTGGCGTCTTTCTGGATGCTGTCCTCCAAGATCGGCGCCTTCACGATGCTCGGCGTGTGCAGCGACGTCTCGTCCCCGTGCCCCAGCTGACCATCCCGGCTGTCTCCCCACGTGTACACCTGCACAGTCGTCATCCTCCTGTCCTCCAACCGCCCTGTCAAACTTCACCTGACGCGCTTCGTCGAGGGCGATGCTGCTGAACCCTCCGGCGTTGATCGCTCGGATGCCCCTCGCCTCCAGCGCTTCCACGATCCTGGGGGTGCACCGACTGAGCAGCTCGTTGTGACCGAGCTGCCCTTCTTCGCCGCGGCCCCACGAGTAGACATGCTCCAGAGGAGGCATGCCTGGCTCCACTTCATCCGCCACAAACGCGACGCAGTGATCGTACCCGCACGCGATCTGCTGGACGCGCACGGAGCGCAAGGCAGTCACGAGCTCAGGCACGGGCGAGTGGGTATAGTGCCCGAGGCCGAGCTGCCCGCAGTCGTTGCGCCCCCACGTGTAGATCTGCTCGTTCTTCATGAGAGCCATCGAGTGACTGTACCCACAGAGCACGTGACAGGCGCCGCTGCGTCGGAGGTGGTCAACGATGTCTGGCTGCAGCACAGCCTTGTCGCTCCTGTTCAACCCCAGCTGGCCGTAGGCGTTGCTCCCCCAGGCGTAGATCTTGTTGGCATCCGTGAGGACGAGGGTGTGCTGGCCCCCGCAGGCAGCTCTGATGCAGATCTTCTTCGCCATCCCCACCACTTGCGTCGGGAAGTAACACGTCTTGGTGTTGCCATGCCCCAGCTGCCCGCACTGGTTCCTCCCCCACGACCAGATCGTGCCTTCGATACAGATCGCTACCGTATGGAACTCTCCGCAGGCTATCGAGAGCACGCTAGGCAGGTTCAACGCAGAGCTGGACCCGTGCAGGGGGGTCGGGGGGATGGCGATCCTGCGCTTGGGGGCCCTAGCTGGAACCTTGTCGCCCCTCTCGCTGACAAGTGACTTGAACCACTTTGTCATCGTGTGCCGGAGCTGAAAAGATTTCTCCGAGTCGGAGCTTTCGCAGAGGCCGAGCTGGCCATGGCTGTTGTTACCCCACGTCACGATCACTCCCATGGTCGAGTGCCCCAACTCGTTGGCGTGCGTTGCAATCACGGAGCGTGCCTCTGCCGCAGACTCAGCGTCCTTGGAGGAAGCTACTGTGCTGATTCCCGTCGTTCCGCTTCTCTTGCTCGTCCCACTCCTGACACTGTGACCATCTACGCTGTGCATGTCGGACCTGTCATCGCGGCTGCTCTCGGCGTCTCTCACAGACTCGCTGTACACGCTGTTGATCTGCGCAGCCTCGACCTCAACGTGCATGTCGAGATCCTCCAGCTCATCAGGGAAGGGGTCGCCGCCGTGACCATGCATGATGAAGGGTTGAACCAGCTGCCGTTGTTTGAACTTCTTGCTCGACTTGCCTGAGACAGATTCCTGCCGATTGATTGCAGTCGACTTGATGATTTCTGTTCGCTCGAAGTCGAGGCGCTTTTGGATCAGCCCTTGTTTGTCTTGCTCCACTCCGATCACCATCCCATGGCTCTCACTCAGCGCGATCCCCTTGATGGCCTCGATGCCGATGGGCATCTCGAGTACGTCAGGTGTGGTGCCTTTAGTAGACACCCGGACTGAGGGCCCAGCAAGTTTCTCTACCTTGGACTGCACGTGGTCGGTGATGCCCTTCCAAGCTCCCAGCAGGTAGGCTGTCTCGTCGTTGCCGATGGCTGCTGTGCTTCTGTTGCCGCAGACGATCTGCTTGATCCTTGGGACAGCCTGCCAAGCACTTCAGAGGGTCGCTCGACATAAGCGGGAGGTACCGTCAGGCCTGGAATGCGCTGAGGCTTCGGGAAGATGCCCAGAGTTCCAAGACCTAGTTGATCATACACGCCGCTGCCCCACCCGTACACCTCGTTGGCGATGGAGACAGCAATGCTGTGCTCGCTGCCGCACGCTATGGAGATCATCTCTTGCTCCTCTAGGGACTCGATCAAGACTGGAGAGTTGGAGGACTTGAGGTCTCCCGTCCCTAGTTGACCGGCTTTGTTTTCACCCCAAGTATAGATCAAGCCGTTGTCGGTGACGACTACTGTGTGGTTTCTCCCGCAAGCCACAGCACTAGACCCTCTGTTCTCCATCTTGGGCACAATGTGCGGCTCCAGCTCGATCTCCGTGACCACGTCGTGCCCCAGCTGCCCTTCCCACCCCCTTCCCCAGGTGTACACGTCACCATCCTCAGCGATGACCGCAGAGTGACTCTTGCCGGCCCCGATGCTGCGAACGTTCTTACGGTTCAAGGGATCGGACAAGGAGAGGATGCCGGTCGGGAGGGGAACATTGTTGGTATGGCCTAGGCCCAGCTGACCGTACTTGTTCTTACCCCAGGAGTAGACCTGGAAGAAGGGCTTTCAGACAGTCGCAAGGCAAGTACGAAGGAACAACCTTCTTCTTGTTGGTGATGGCGATGCAATGCCAGTCTCCCATGATTAAGTTGACGAAGATTTTGTTCTTGGCGGTCTTGAGGCGCGGAACGTCAGGGTCTATGCACTGGAAACAAGATTGCATGAGTGAGATGAAAGCGTTCAGAAAGGAGTTACAGTCTCAATCGGAGTCGGTTGAGGTCTGGGCTTGTAGTCATTGAGCCCAAGTTGACCTTCTTTGTTCGACCCCCAAGTGAATATCTTCCCGTCATCTGTAATGCATCCCGAGTGATCTTGACCGCAGGCCACGACCGTGATGGAGTAGTTGTGCAGGGGGCCGTAGATTGGGAACGGAGTGTCGAGGTTAGACTGGGTGAGACCCCCGGCCCCATGTCCCAGCTTGCCATCTGAGCCTCTGCCCCACGAGCACGCTCGTCCTATGTAGCCCTCGACGACTCCGAAGCCTGGCGAGCAGGAGTGACTTGTTGGGCCAGGCACTTGCTGACTTACCAGTGTCTTCGATGAAGATTCCTGCCTTGAACTTGTGCTCCAGAGGAGGAGGGATGGGAATCCGAACCAGGGCGGTGATCTCGTGATCGCCGCAGGAGATGCCGTAGATGGCCTCGAGCCCTTTGAAGCGTCGGGGCATGTTGAACACGTTCTTCTGACCCTTTCCAGATGTCGACCGCATGTTCCCCCAGAAGTACATCTGACCGAGATCCGACAGAGCCACCTGAAGCACACTTGAGCTCTAGAGCTTCTGCCGACTCTCGTACCGTGTACTTGGGGCCGCACTCAAGATCTCGCAGGCGACACTCCTCTGTCAGCTTGATGACGTGCTTCGGAACGAGTTGCGACTTAGCGTTCCCGTGACCGAGAGCACCTTCAGAGCCGTCGCCGAAGGTGAAGACATCTCTGTTCAGCCTACGTTAGAGGGGGGAGGGGGGAGCTTCAAGTCCTTCACCTGTCTGAAAGGAACGCGCTGTGATTCTCACCGCAGGAGATCTTTCGAATCCCTCGCGAGGACATGTTGGTGTTGAGGGTCGGCTCCTTCCTGTTCTTGACGTCTCCGAGACCAAGCTGTCCGTGTTTGTTGTTTCCCCACACGTACATGTGACCCTGAGCCGTCAGAGCGATGGTGTGAGAAGCACCGCAAGCGATTTGTCTGAAATCTTGACCTAGAGTGACAGGGCGGGGATGTCAGAGCATGGGCTTGAAGGCAGGGGTAGGTGTACAAACCATGAATGGACTGGAGGATCTGGGGGTGGGGGATGTCGAACTGGGAGTCATGCCCGTGCGCGAAGTTCTCTGAGGACCCGAAGGACCAGAGGTCCCCACTGCCATCGATCACCACGCTGTGGAAGTACCCGCAAGCCACCGCCCGTGGCGACTGCGTGTCAAGTGAAGATATTCTGACGGGCGTGTTCACGTATCCGTTGGGATACTTCTCCTTGGTGACCTCCCCGATGCCGAGCTGGCCATGCGTCAAGGCTCCCCAACTCCAGATCTGACCGCTCTCAGTGATGACGATGGTGTGATGCCTTCCGCAGGCTGCAGTGATCGCGATGTGCCCCTGCATGTCCAGCACCGTCTTCGCCTCCATGTCAATCCCGAGGATCCCCTCCTCGGCACCGGAGTAGCCCAGCTGTCGCATGTCGTTCGCTCCCCAAGAGAACACCTGTGCGACAGTCAACGCGCGCATGCTGCGAGCATGAGGAGGAGCAGCACCTGCCCTGCTGCGGTGAGAGCCACTGAATGTGAGGGTCCGCTGAAGATAGCAAAGAAATCATTGCCGCGCACTTCTTCTTTGAGTTCTACAATCTGAGCACTTTTGATGCCATAGAGATATCCGTCCCCTTCAACAATGATCGGGTCAAGCGGTTGAAGGTGCTTGTCTTGGTACTCAGGATCTCCCTCGGCGTACACGTTACCCAAGGGGTTCATCGCAGAGGAGTGAGTGCTCAAGACATCTGGATACATCGGCGGTGCCTTCTGCTTGGCATGCTTTTCCGTGAGGCGTTCTTTGCGCTTGTCTGCCGTGCTGGCGGGGACAACAATGTCTTGAGCTGCCACATCCTCTTTCGATTTACCTGTAACGAGATCGTCACGACTACATCTCCATGCTCTGCAACATCATACGACCTGTATGACGCAAGTTGAAAGCCTGATCATGGGAATGACTCTTGAAGCTAATGAGTGACTTTTCGAGGTATTCGAACTGCTTCATAGCTTCTGCATTTTGCAAGACAAGCTCTTCAAGATTGACGGGATCAAGATCAATGTTGTCCATCTGATTTCTCGGCACATCTTGATAATTGATGATCAGGTTCGGCTTAGGAGCATTCTTGCTTCTGGGACGGGGTTGCCTTCCTGACAGCCTTGACTCCGTCACGCGCAAGATGCTTCCTTCCAGCACGCTCTTGGCATCCTTGCTGAGTGCGCGAGGAGCTCCATCCTCCCAACCGACGTCCACCGACGACCCGATCGGGCGGACAAGCAAGTTCTCCTCCGCCATCCTAAACTTGGAGGATGCCTGATACGGCTGCCAAGTTAATCATCAGGACAGAATCAGATCACAAGAGTGTTGAACACATAGAAGTTGAATTTCTTGGGCAACGAATTGAATGGTTCTTTTTCTGACTGATGCAACAAACAAACTCTCCAGAAACAGTATTCGAAGCAGCAAAACACTTTGCACAACAACCCAATGACAATTCACGTCACTGCCTTCAAACTCTTCACATCTTTGCAAACAGTCATGATACTTCTCCTTCCCAGATTCTCGTTACTCCCTTCCTCATTCCACTTCGCTCCCTGCTCCCATCCTATTGTTATCCTGCCCTTTCTCATTTCCTCCAACACGACATTTGGCTTCAATCTTCGGCTTACCCACCCCTTCTGTAGGTACCCTTCTACACTTCGGCCACCCCTTGACCCGGTCTGAGATCTGCTTTTCTCGTACTAAAGTCAGGGTAGGTAGATGTACCCGACCCCCTGGATATCAGCACTGGGCAACCCGGCGAGTTCCTACCGGAGCGACACTTTTCACCAGGGGTCATCGTCCAGGTATCCGTGAGGTATCCGTGACGGTATCCGCGGGATGAGTAAGCCGTAACTAGCGGTTTTCGCTGCCTCTTCCTTTCGGCTAGACTTCTGTTGAGGCGGGTTTGTAGGTCAGTGTGATCACTTCGTCTGCAAGTCCGCCCCCGGCGGCGGCGCTGGCAGCCGCTGAGCCGGGCTCACATTGAAATATTTCGACCCTGATGGTGACGGTAACACAGTGTGAGATGAATCATGACGAAGCCTCCGATAAAGCCTGTGATCGGGCTGTGCCACGGTGCGCGGCAGCCAGTGCTGCCACGGCCCCGTGATCATCATTCAATGAAAGCCGTTGAGTCAGGAAATCTTTGTCTTGGGCATACGTATACTAGTCAGAGATTCTGGCGAGAGAGATATAAGCTGCTTAGTAAAGGATCAGTTAGTTCTCAGTAACTGAGCGATACGTCGGAGTAACTCTCAGGGCCGTGGCAGTGAGTCAACCGTGACCGTTGAATGTGATGCCATGACTCGGACTCATGAGTCGGACTTACGGTATCCGGAAAAGTATCCGATAGTGTATCCGAGTGATTATCCGTGAGTATCCGCGAGGATGTGCTGGGGGTGTCGGCGTGGCATGGCGGCCAGGGGAAGCGCAACATGGGCGAGAGGTGAGTGAATGAGGAGGAGGAGGAGGAGAGGAAGAGGGCGAAAGGTACTGCATGTAGGAAGCTGAACAAAGCTACCAACCCTTCCATGTCACTGTAGAAGAGTGGGCATGGCGCTTGGTGAAGGGTCAGATCTAGAGCGGTTCGTTATCAGCACTTCCCCTTATCTTAGAGGGCGCGATGCTCAATGGATATGAGAGTTGCGTGTGTATGTGAAAGCTGATGAGACAGAAAATTCACATCTAGAGGGTAATCAGCCCTGCGCTCTCAGAGTCGTGCATGCATAGAAAAGATTGCACGGATTCGTAGAGTTTCCATCGGTCGTGCATGAAAGTTTGATCTGATCGCACAGCTCTCATGGTCTACCTGGTTCTTCTATCAGCCAACGGCGACACAAATTGGTACTTCACATGAGCGAGGAGCTTTGCGTCCATGCCGAGCTCCTGGCTTCGTGTTTGTGACGAGGAGTGCAGGGGTCAAAAGAGTTCGCAGGTGGCAGGGGGGTTCAAGGAGGTGAGGTGCGTTCTGAGGTAGCTAGTGGTGTGATCCGCTCTCTGCAGAGCATGGCGTCTGCTGCTGGCTCCTCCCTCGCTCCGGTTTGTGCTCGAACTTGCTCTCCTTCCTCCTGAGCTCCACCTGCAGAACTCCTTGCAACCTTCTCCATCGCAGGTGGGGGCGCGGGAAGCGGCGATCATGCAAGCGAGGGAGCAAGCGAGGGAGCAAGCTAGAATGCAGGCCAAGGAGCAGAGCATGAGCTCTGTCAGCAGGGAGAGCGCTGCTGCTAACAGACCTCAACACATGCCTCCGAATGTGATCCCAACAGTCAAACCTGAAAGTCCTCCTCCTACAGCCGCGCAGCAGCCAGTCAGGGAAGGAGCTCCAAGGTCTCAAGGGTTCCTGTCTTCTCTCCTGTCCCCAGCTCAAGGGGTGCAGAACGTACAGCAGACGAGCAACGAGCGGGCATCTCCGTCTGCTCCCTCGGCTCCGATCTTGACCCGTCAAGCTCAGTCCGCCTCGTCAGCTTCTCCCCCTGCTGCTCCGCTCTCCTCCTCCCAGCCGACTTCGTCTGTCGTACAGGTAGGAGGAGGCAACGTGAAGGTTGCGACCTGGTGGTTGATGCTGCTGCAGCCTCGGGGTAGGGAGTGTGTCGCTCCCGGGGAGAATATCGAGTGCTCCGGCAAGGGATTTTGTCTTGACGGAGACAAGGGATGTAAATGCAAGAATGGATTTGTGGGCAAGTTTTGTGAGATACAATGGTGAGACTTGTCCTGTCCTGTCCTGCCTTGACTTGTCATAACTTGCGGTAATCGCAGTCCTGGAGGAGGAAACTGCAATGATCGGGGAGTCTGCTTGGAGGTTGCTTTCTTTGTTCTTTCCTCCCTTCTCCCTCCTCTCTCTGCCAACTTCGCCTTGCTCCCTCTTCCCGTCTTTCTCTTTGGCCCCCCCCCCCCCCCCCCCCCCCCCCCCCCCGCTCAAAACTCGGTCTCTTCTCTTCCGTGTCTCACGGATGAACAGGACGGCAAGTGTTTGTGCCAGAAGGGATTTTCAGGGGAAGCTTGCGAGTTGAGGCAGATGGTTGGAGGTGAGAGGGATCATTCTGAGCTGTTTCAAGATCGATGTGCTTGAAAGTTTCGATGAAAGTTCCGGTGAAAGTTTCGATGAAAGTTGCGATGGTGCTTGCAACCGACAGTATGATGTGACGATACTATGTCATGATCTGCGCCTGAAATGTTGTATAGTATGTGTATAGTATGTGTATGGCATGTGTATGGTATTTGTATGAGATGTCTTCTGTATGTAGCATTTGTTGTATCATGTATGACATATGACATGTGCTGCTGTTTCGATTTCTTTTTCGCTCTGACATCCTCCTGTAAGATTTCGGTGAAAGTCATTCATCGTCGCGCTCAAGGAGGAGGGAGTCGGGAGGTCCCTGTGGAGAGAACAACGAGTGCTCTGGCCATGGGCGATGCTTGTCAGGAGAGGCTGGAGAGACTTGCAAGTGTGAGCCAGGGTGGTCTGGCCAAGCATGCAGCACCCCTTGTCCTGGCCTGAATAAGGTCTGTGAAGGAGGGGTCCTACCTGCTGCTGCTGAGAGATTGGAAATGCAGGAAGGGATGTTCTGCTCTGGGTTCGGCTCCTGCACGCGGGATGGAAAGTGTCGATGCGATGCAGGGTACTGGGGAGAGATGTGCGAGAAGGTGAGGAGAGGTGGAGGAGGAGGAGGAGGAGGAGGAGGAGGAGGAGGTGCACGAGCAATAGGAGAAGCTGGAGCAGTAGGTGCAGCACGAGGAGAAGGAGAGAGGAGGGCTGGTGATATTTTAGCTCATGAGACATGCAGGAATGCCCAGGAGGAGCATCCAACATCTGCTCGGGACATGTAGGGACTGGCGCTCTCCTCCTACTGACCTGACATGATGCGGCAGGGCATGTGCGGGCTCAAGGGAACCTGCAAGTGCGAGGAAGGATGGACGGGGCTGGAGTGTAAGGAGCAAGTGGGAAAGAGGTGAGAGGCTCGATGTAACAAGCGGGAAGAGAGGAGGAGGAGGAGGAGGAGGGTGGAGGAGAATAGAGGGCGGAGGAGGGCGGAGGGCGGAGGGAGGCAGGGGAGGAGGAGGAGGAGGAGGAGGAGGAGGAGGAGAAAGGAGGGATGGAAAAGGAAAGGAGGAAGATGGAAGAGGGAGGGGGGCCTAAATTACCCTGAGACCCCGGGGGAAAAGCTGATTGATGAAAATGTCTGGATCTTTGGGTGGCAGCTGGTCTGTCTTC